CGACATGCATCAGTCGGCCGGTCTACCCTTCGTACAATTTTCGCTCTTATATACGCCAATTGAACCGTATAATAATTCGTTATTGTTATTCCGTGGTGGTCCGTTTCGCGGCTATCTGGCGGCCGAAACCGCCGTGCGCGTCGGAATGCATCGTTCTTGCCGCGGCGCCTTCGATTTTTTGTGCCGAGTGTCGGGTCGGAGTGAACTCCTCGATCCTGCCGCGTCGTCGTTCGATGAGACTGCCCGGGATCCCCTTGCACCGCTCCGGTTGCACGATCGCAACGAGACGACGCTCGGCCGGGATTTCGTTTCTCGACCGCCGCCGTGCGTCCTTCGCACGGATGTTGCGACAAATCGGACTCCTTGCTACATAGTGCGGCCGGATTCGCGGCCCTACCGACGCCCCGCTCGTCGAGGAAGCGACCGGACGACGCGAACCTCGCGTCGAGATCGGTCCGCGAGCGCCGACTTTACAAAGTGGCGAATTTGAAATTTGTATTTTCGCGTTCAACAGAGTTGCAAGCATGCGCGCCGGTATATACATGTCACGTGATACTTGTATACATACAGGTGCACGTTGACCGCGTCTGATGTCACTCGCGGAAGCGGAGAGTCCGACACGATTTCGTGCTACTTTTCGCGAGTACGCATTCACGCGCGTTTTGACGAGGAGGACTATTCGTGTAATTTTTCCGAGATTTACGTGGCGGGAAGGGCGAAGCATTATCTCGAGGACGTTGCCTGTCAACTGTGAAAGTACGAACTGTACACACACACACACACACACACACACACCGTTACGAAACTGCATTTTTTTCCTTTCATTTATTGCCGTAATTATCGCGGATCGATAGTTCATTTTGGAATCGTCCCACGCACGCGTTTGCTGTGAAAATAAGGAAAAAAGAAAAGAGAGAAAGAGAGCGACCCCCACCACCAGATACTCCCGTGCTTCACGTCGCAGTATAATTGAAATGCGTATGTTTTTGGTTTTTTCTGTTCGTACGCTGCACCGCCCTCCCCATGCAGGTAAGTCGTTTACGAGGAAGGAGCACTTCACGAACCACATAATGTGGCACACGGGCGAGACGCCGCACCGCTGCGACTTCTGCTCGAAGACGTTCACGCGAAAGGAGCATCTCCTCAACCACGTTCGCCAGCACACGGGTGAGTCTCCACACCGATGCGGCTTCTGCTCCAAATCGTTCACCAGAAAGGAACACCTTGTTAACCACATCCGCCAACACACAGGTGAGAGCGGTTGGCAGATGTTCACTTCACGGGCAACCGATAATCGTTTATCTATTTTGTCACTATTAAGAGTAGTTGTATTTTCGTGGTCTATTTATGCATATATATATATATATACATATATACGTGTGTATAGAAGTGCAAAGGGAGAAGAGAGAACGAAAGAGAGGGGAAGAGGGGGGGAGAGAGAGAGACCCATCAGTATCTCCCTGTCTTTCTTCCTCATAGAATTAAGAGATCAGTAATAGAAATTTGCGAGAGTCATCTTGTACGTAGCATCACATAGCGCATTTTAGGTAGTTGGATCAAACGCGGATCGAAGTTGGATCAGGCATCGCATCTTCGCATCATGCTTCCGGTCTGACCACATCTCGGTCTAGTTTCCGTATCCGGGCTCGTCTCTCCGTCGAATTCGCTTTTCAAACGGCAGAATCCTTGACCAACTCGGAGACTATTCTTAGTGACGCGTAGAAATGTCGGAGCAGTTCACTATTCCGTTCAAATATTTCTCGTTTTCAATTTCCAGTCTTTTTTATCGAACGATTAAATGCAAACGTTGCCACGGCTCGTTACAGTCGCGGAAAATGGAGTCTTGTCGAGATCCCTCGGGAAGTTCAAATCGCGAGAACCCTGTCGTTTTCGGCTATTTTTGAGAATTACATTGAAAATATTTTATATTTAGTATTTTATCATCTATCGTCGGTAATCTTTCTCTTCGGTTCGTCCAAGGATTCTGACGTTTGATGGATTCGTCTAAAAGGGAGACGCCGTGTATATGTGTATGACGTACTTAGTTGACAATCTGATACTTGCATGGGAATTGATCGTACCGTTTTAGAGGGTGAATCGCCGTGAATTTTCATCGTGAATCACTCGTACACAGTCGCTCGTGTCGTACGTACGTGTCGTCTCTTTAACATTTGCCATCGCATCGCGTCTAACACGATCTGATCATGAGACCCCCCACATCATCATAGAATCCCCCCTCGCCCACCCCCACCCCCCTTACAAACAACATTTGCTGTTCTGCCTAATACACCGCTCTCATGCGTGCCTCTTATTAACAGTTGTCTCAACATACCATTTTTGTCTCTCATATCATTTTTTTTTCTTGTAAATGTTCACGACTAATTCGCATTCCCCTACTTACAAGAGTGTCGTCAGTCGAGTCTTGTGTCTCACGATAGAGAGAGAGAGAGAGAGAGAGACAGACAGACAGACAGACATGTAAATAATTCCTTTCTGCTCGTCAATCAGCTTCACCTCGTTGTCGTTGGGCGACACGAGTCTCGAGATTCGTTTAATTTCAACGTTACATTAGAGTTGTCTAGTTGGTAGTAGACGTGAATTTCGAGAAGAGAGATCAGTATATGTATATATTTACTTAACGATCGCGAGATAGAAAGTTTCACGCTTTACACAAAGTAATGGTAGCGTATATCTCAGTATTTGACTGTTGGAATTAGAGAATACATATCGAAAAAGTGTCGCGAGGTAACTATACATCTATCGCTGTACAAGCTGACTTTTCTTCGATGCGACAAGGATAGGACGATACCGAATGCATTTAACGACGTAGTCCCTTATCGTATTCTTGAATACTTTCTCCGGAAATGTGATGAGAATTTTTCAGTAGACAAATTTACTTTCTCGATACTGAATTATTGGAATATTAGTGAATGTCTCTAATTTCTTTTTGCCATATTTATTAAATATAAGTTAAATCCCGCGAGCCCACCAATCAACTACGCATAATTTTTTATTTAACGGAATTTAAATCAAGTAATATCTCCTTTTTTCCCTGTAGATTTTTTTTTTTCTTAGATTTAAGTTGAATTATTATTTTATATACATATTGAATTATTATTATTTTATATACATGTTGAATTATTATTTTATATACATACCTTTTTAATATATATTTATATGTAGAAAAACAATATGTTTCGAACGAGCTAATTTCCAAATTGATCGAATGACGATAAAATGAAACGGACTGCGTCTCTCACGACGAGCACTAGTGTGCAATGCATTCGATGTCGTACCCTCTCCGTGCGTCGCGCCGGGTAAGCTCGCCTTGTGCAGGATAACACCGCGTTCCGAATGACACTGTAAAAGGTTCTCTCTTAAAAGATGCGAACTCGTAAAATGTTAAACAGGGGAGACGCCCTTCCGCTGTCAATACTGTCCGAAAGCATTTACGCGGAAGGATCACCTGGTGAACCACGTCAGGCAGCACACGGGTGAGTCACCGCACAAGTGCCAGTATTGCACCAAATCCTTCACGCGGAAGGAACATTTGACCAATCACGTGCGTCAACATACAGGCGAATCGCCACATCGATGCCACTTCTGCTCCAAGTCATTTACTCGTAAGGAGCATTTGACGAATCATGTGCGCATCCACACTGGCGAATCTCCACACAGGTGTGAGTTTTGCCAGAGGACGTTCACCAGGAAAGAACACCTCAATAATCATCTCCGTCAGCACACTGGAGATTCCTCACACTGTTGCAACGTGTGCTCCAAGCCGTTCACAAGAAAGGTACGTTGGCTTCTTTACATTCACGCCTGAAATTCGCATCTGCGATAAAGCTTCACTTTATCGTCTTCAGCTTCATTTCTTATCGGATCTTTAACTATTCCACGCGCAATAATACGACTAGTACTAGTTTAAGGCGTCTACTGTCTGGGAAAACTGCCGGAGAATCTAGAATTCTCAGGGGATTTATTTATGTATGGAAAAATCATTTATAAACTTTTATGAGCGGAAAATATTAAGAACTTTTCGTATTAAATATATATTTATTTGCAAGATACATTTAAAAATACTTTCTCTTCAAGGAATTTTTTTCGGATTCGAATAGATGCCTTCTTATTAACTCCACATTAATCGTCATAAAGTGCAATGTGTCGTAACTTGTTTCATTGTAAAATCAATTTTCGCGGAACGTAAATATATTCGTAGCTGAAGAGTCTAGTCTGTTAGTTTCACTTTTATTCGCTCGATTCCCAACTGGCGGTGTAACCTTCACGTGCCTGCAAATTTTCTGTTACAGGAGCATCTCGTGAATCACATGCGTTGCCATACTGGTGAACGTCCGTTTGTGTGCACAGAATGTGGCAAAAGTTTCCCGTTGAAGGGCAATCTCCTATTTCACATGCGCTCGCACAATAAGGGCAGCAACGCCGAGAGGCCGTTCCGCTGCGACCTGTGCGCCAAAGATTTCATGTGCAAAGGACACTTGGTCTCGCACAGACGCTCGCACTCGGATGAGCGACCGCACAGTTGCCCGGACTGTGGCAAGACCTTCGTCGAGAAGGGCAATATGCTGAGACACCTGCGCAAGCACGCGGCCGAAGGCCCGCCGACGCAGGTCAGCACTCCGTCGGCTATACCGCAGTCCGGCGTCCTGCCGATACCGGCGGCTGCGGTACTCGTGGGACACCCGTTAGCGCCGCCGGCGCCGCCAGTGGTGCCGCAGCACACGGTGGTCGTGCCCACCCCGCCGGGTGTGCTGGCGTCGTACTAAGAAACGGAAAAACAGGACGGAGAAACCAAATTAGGAAGAGGAAATGAATACGGAGGGGAGAGAAGGAGATTTGATAGAGGAAGAGAAACACTGTGGAAGAGGAGGAGGAGGAGAGGATGCATTTTTGAAGCCGATACATGTGCGTGATATATATATATGTATGTGCGCGTAATACTTAAGATACGACTGTGTCGAAGAAGAGTGAAGGAGTTGTGCGCTGTTTATCGTTTCCTCGCAAGGATTGCTGGATCACAATGGATTATTACGCCGTCGTCGAGGATCATCATCGGTGTTTCGCGTGGACGCGTCTGCACTCGCGATCGCAGCAACAGCAACAGGAATCACAGTACACACACACACAACACACGTACACGTACACGCTTACTTTTTTGTTTGATAAGGGAAGTCAGGACGAAACGATGTATACAATGGCTGTACGCGCGCATTGGAACATCGGTTGTTTCTCGCGACAAAAGCATGGTGTATTTTCCAAAGTTTGGTTTCGCTTATTTATGCTTGTACTTGATAAGTATGTCGACTGTGGTAACGATTTATTGTATGCGTGTATACGTTCCAAATCTGTGCAAGAGAATCGGTAGTGTCGCAGAGACAACTTTGTAACTATGCGATTTAAAGAAGCCGGTAATCTTACGTATTTTAAGTAACCTTTCGTCGTGTAATTTTAACAAAGAGGCACTAATTACAATGTTCACGACGAACTTGCATTGGATTATAATCAGTACTTTGATTTCGCACGGGTATGATTGAGAATGCGTTCGCTGCTTGCAGCAACGTTTACGGAAATCGGCGTCACAGAGAGGCGATTTCCCAAACACAAATCAAAGTACAGTGACAATGTGTGTGGGTATATAAGTGGCGATTAACAGTCGTGACCAGCGTTGCTTGATTGACGTTAGTTGACTGTCTTCGGCATAATTTCGCTGCAATGCGTTATAGAAAGCGGATCAACTGCGTTCTTGTTTTTTCTTTCTTTTTTGTTTTTAGGAATTCGGTGGCGGTTGCATTTCAGATTCGGAGTGGTATTTTGAATTTTGCAGTTGGAATGGGCTCAATGTGTTTATTGTTGTACTTTCATACGGGGTTGCAATTTAATCGATGGTACAACCGAAACGAAGACGATTCTTCATGTGACGACAAGATAACATTTCTACATGACTTCTATATGTGAAGAAATGAATAAATGAAATATAATTTATCGGCAAGGAATATTAATAACACTAATGAAAACTATATTAACACTTTAACGGCCGCTCACACAACATGTGTGTGATGCTACCGCCGAAGAAAATATTGCCGGCTCCTGGCGACATTTGACTGCGTAGACGTGCGGCCATTAAAGTGTTAATGTCGATTAATAAAGTTGCATTAATATTGATATTCCTATTAATCATTGAATAATAATCAATTGAATAATAAATAATAGATATTGAAAGAGAGAGAATATTTATTTACAAATTTTATTTACTTTTGTTCTACATGAAATTTATTTATTATTTTAATAGATTATAAGTTATTTTTTATTTATTATATTTATAACTTATATAGAAATGGGAAAAATTAAATTTTTTTTTATATTTTTTCTCCTTCATTGAGTCGACAACATATGTAATAAAAGTCGTTGAAGACTAATCTTGAATTCTATAAACTTGAAAGAAAAACAAAAACATATATATTAACCTTTGAAAGTCCAAGTAATCGACTATATATCAATCCTAATGGGTCAAAATCCTTGTTAGGACTATTTTTTCATACCGGAAAGGACTCGATTGATTAGGTACTACTTTAGTTAAAACTCTAGCTACGGAAGGCGCGCGCGCACACACACACGTTCAGTTAGTCGGGGCTTAACACGTTGAGCGCCACGTCAGCCATCGGTGGCTGACACTAGACTTTCCGTTTAGGCCACGTCAGCCATCGGTGGCAATACCGGCGCGCGTGGCCTGAACGGGATTGCCTTAGAAATACGCGTGGCGCTCAACGTGTTAAACATGGTTGCGGGCAATATCTATTGGGCTTTCTAGAGTTAAATTGGTACTTGATTAATATTTTTTCAAAAATACAAAAAAATTTATCTGAAAAGATTTCTTTTTCGCTGTAGCGTGCTTTATCTTTACGTGAGGAATCAAATATCTCATTAGTAGTACTATCGATTTCGTCAGACTCCGTATGAAGTATAATATTCACGAGAAATAGACATGAAAATTCACATAAGCTTGACAAGCACACTGCTGTTACTTTCCTCTCAATGATTACAGATTTATGTATACTAGTCCTAATTATTTCATCAAAATATTTTCCCGGAATTGCCGCGATACAAAAGTCGCCAATATGTATGTGAGTCACCGAACGGTGTCTAGTTTGTTTGCGTGCGTTTTCGCACGCATAGATGCATCATTAGATTTTGTTTGGGCGGGAATTCGTGTTCGTAGATACTTTTCGTAGATAATTATGCTTTCACTTAGTTATTAGCGAATTTAATCTTATTAGCTGTTACGGTCGAGTGCAATATGGCTCAGCCGCCTGAGAGAGAGAGAGGGGGGGGGGGGGAAAAAAAGAGAGAGACACCTGCAAATAACGGATTACCACTGACACCGGACCTTAAATGTACCACGAACTGCGCGTACGCAACTCTATTTTAACTCTTCCGCTACCAACGACTGACTGTAGTCGTTCCCTCCAGGTACCGAAAGAGAGAGACCGACTGTCGCCGACCGACGAGAAACAACCACATAGATTTCTTATGAGAAACTGTAGAATGGTATAACTTCATATGTTTATAATAAGGCTATTATGTCGATCTGCGTGCGGATGTCGCCTTCTCGGCTAGAGTCAAAAGCGGAAGAGTTAAAAGCGAAGGCGGTTCGTGCGAATTGAAGTCTTCAATTAACGCGTAATACGAAAAAGCGATGAATTCACATTTTAATTTTGAGTTGTTCGAAATGTTCTTGATACTATAAATTCGTAATGGTCCCGATTTTATATTATTCGCCACTAAAAGAGTGAGAGAGGGGGGGGGAGGTAGAAACACTACACACTAAGCGATCGTCGTATAAGGCCATGTATTTCATATTTACCGTTAAGCTAAAAATAAAGAGAAATGGTAAGAAGACGCGACAGTGCGACGCGGCTGCGGTCGCATCGCGAGTGGTCGTCCACGAGTTTCCTCGCGCGGGGGCTCTGCCGCTGCGAGAGAAAGGGGGGGAGAGAACGGCTTTCAGGAAATGAGCATGTGATCGCAGGCCTCATCGTCGCGCTGTTGCCGCCGTTTTGCGCTAAATATAATTATGTATAATATTAATAGTATATAATTATATATCACAGGTAGGCATTATACAAAGAGGAGATTTATTAACGCGTATTCGCGTACGCTCGTACGTAACGAGAGAGAGATATTCGAGATGTGGCGCAGTCTCGAGTATATATAAATATATATATATAAATACATATATATATATATATATTACTATATAAGTATATATACGAGCGGATGATAGAGATATATCATACTTACTATTTAAAGTAACGAGAAACCGGGGCAAAATTTAAGTGTATTGCAGGGTCAACCTCATAAACGGCATGGATCATAAAGAAAGATACGTAGATCTTTGTCATATCCTCAGGAGGACAAAACAAAAAAAAAATGGGGGAAAGAAGTCAGAGAAAAAGAATGAGAGAGAGAGAGAAAAAGAGAGAAAGAGAGCTGACGGGAGATAATGATGGAGAAAGGGACGCGACCCATCATTGTGAACTCGTACACTTATACGGGATAGACATATATATATGTATAATATATATATTGCTGATATGCTTATATACATTATGTATATATACTGTGTAACATACACAAATGAGCTAATCACCGGGGGGGGGGGGGCAAACACGACCACAACCCCATNGGGGAAATGATCTTCCAACGAGAGAAGAGATGTGTAAAGAGTGAAGAACGGGAGAAAGGTGGGAAGCGGGAGGAACAAAAAAAGAAAAAAAAAAGAAAATGATTTGTCTGCTGTATTGACCTCGGCATCACCCTTACGAAAAAAACGACGATTACTATACATGTAACAGGAATAAAGATAGAAATAATGTTTATATGAATTACTATTAATTATTATTAATGATAATACTATAATGCGTTACAAGAATAAAAACTAAGAGTTGGTTCGTGCTTTTAAGAGGTTTAGTTTCGTGCTTGTTTAAAAAGATAAAGAGAAGACGTGAGAAAAGTGTGAACGTCACAGCAAGCTCCGGCTCCGGGCATTTTCCGTCTCCGAGGCGAGTCGCGCGTCGCTGCGGGCTTAGACGGCGTCGTGATGTCACTGCTGTGCTTCGTAAGCGGCGCACATCTTGGATCTCGTCGAACGGGAAGATGTTTCACCACGGGCGTGTGGGGATCGATCGGTGACGACGCTTCGGTTCGGAGCAGGAACGCGTCGGAACGAGGGAGAGATTGAGAGAAAGCGACAGAGCGAGCGAGCGAAAGAAAGAAAGATACGAGTAAATATGATTTACTTTAGATAGAACAAAATATGTATAGAATTTTATTATGCACCATTGTAATATTATGTATCCCAGTTGTGACACAATATACACTGGTGTTATGTTAAATGTGGAAATTACGCGTACTATCTTTTTGTTTGTTGTGTATGTTCCCCAGTGCCGCCGCCACGTCGTCGTAACGCTTGATAACGATTATTATTGTTTCGTACAAAATTCACACGGATTAACTGGCTAGTAATTTTGTATGTCGAGATATCTCGCGTGTGCGCGCGTAATATATACACATACACACGTACGATTATCAGAGCGAAAATCCGAGACGCGTGGAAAAGACGCACTTACAAAATTATTTTATATTATACACGAACGAGGAGAGGGAGAGAGAGAGAGAGAGAGAAAGATGACATTTGTATGTGAGAAAGAGAGACATATTTCTACCTTAAGAATAAAACTTCACTCCAAGCTTATTACATATCACAAAACGTTCCTGTGAAACGAGCGGTCGTTTTTCTTGAACATGTAACACTGCAGGAATGCGGAGCCCTGTGGGGCTGTGTAGGTGACAGGATAATTGTACATCAGACTCTGTTCCTCCTCTTGCGGCGAGCTGAATCTGTGCGTATTCCTACGTGCTGCGGAAGAAGAGAGACCAAACTCACAACTTGTATCCCGCACATGCGAAAATTGCGTTCACACAACGCATGAACTCGATCATTGCCTCACTCAATCGTTAACCCGTGCTCGGTTGATCTTGCACGGATCCCTGAAGGAACAATATCGTTACTTACCCTCGTTAATAAAGAAATCGGCGAAATACTGAGCCACCCGGATAGCATCGGCTCCGTGGGGGATATTCTTGCTGGTCTTCCATTCGTAGAGGTTCTTCTCCGGATGGAACTGTATGCCGTAGAACGGATAGTTCTTGTGCTCCAACGTCGAGATGAATTTCTGGCCCATTTTGTCGTGATTGAGCGACATTACGCGAAACTCATCGGTCAAGTTGACACTGCGCAGACCCTGTGCACGGAGCACACGACGAGACACGATTAACACCGCGATGATGCTGATAATAATTCGTGCAATCAACGAGATCAAATGCGCACGACGTTACGTCGTCCCTTTCGTATTAACATTTTCAATCTTTCTCACGAGAAGGCGCTCTCACCTCTTCCGTGACGCAAAACATATGAAAATTCGCCGTGACGCGTTCCAATTTCAAGATCTCCACGACATCCGATGGGGCGTATTGGAACAGGTTGCTTTTGTTGAAGTCTGAAAAGGAGGCCTACATTCAATACCCTGCGAGGGGAGACGGGAAAGACAGGAAGATAAAAATATGACCAACGGTACGTGTTTGAGATATTAATTCGGACGATTTTCAGTTGTAGAAATCATAAAATTTGTGTAAATTTGAAACGATGTATACCGCGTCAATTCTCTGAATTTATTAATATTTGAATGATTAAAAAAAGGGAAAATCTATGTTAGAAGTTGAAGAAATTCTATCTCTTACAGCTTTTATGCAAACACAAAAACTTCTATAAAAGATGAAAAGTATTTGATCTTTTCTCCTCAAGATATAATACAATAATAATGTATTTTCCGGATGACTCACCAGGTTTGAATTCCAACGCGAGCGCCTGATTTTGACTGAAACAGACATTCCTGTGCTCAACACCGTTCGCCGCGACATACGTCAACAACTCGAAGCCGAGGCAAATACCGAGTATCGGGAAGTACTCGCCCCTGTCATTGATTTTCTTCGCGATCCTGCCAACGAGTAAATTATAAGGGGAATATTACATTCAGATCCCCCAAATCATGTCTTACGCGTCTTTCTCTGTGCCATCTATAATGACCTGTAAATCGCGGCGCCTGCGTCGGCGTATCCGTCGCTCTGATTGAAATACGTCGAGCCTCCCGGCCACAGAACTCTGGAAACAAAATTATTTTCTGCTTATAGAATCGCGCGAATGTGCGCTTGGAAAGATGGAGCTCGCCTTTCCCCGTAGAAGTTTACACGAAAAGATGAGAGACGGACGCAAACAATGTCTCTGTAAGAAGGTGATCTTTTCATTTATAGTAATAATAAGACACTTTGTCGTTCTTCCGGATGAGAGATAAGAAATGAGACCGTGTAATTATTACATCACCTACTGCGCATAGTCGCGCTACGTACCCATTCACTTTGCTCAGGACATCCTCATAATATGAATCGTTACCCCCGATCCTGCAAAGTTGCACATTTGAATGCGTACTTCTAAGAGAGAAGGAAAGAGGGGGAAAATTTGTTTATCGAATAGGTCGGAGAAATCAAGTATAGGAGATGAACGGTAAAGGCTTTCAAGAACTACCAGATTGGAACAGGTCGAGCGCCAGCACCCTCGACGAACTTCACATAGGACGCGGCGATGTAGCTGTGATACTGGCCGGGGTGGGTCAGATTCAAATGGTAGTCTATCTCTTGCGTCAATATACCTTGTAACAAACAAATATCGCGTTACCATCGTGTGTGTATGTGTGCGAGCACACAGTTTTTTCCCACATTCCAAATCATCAGTGTCGTAAATAACACAGAGTAGCAAGAGTGATTATCGGCGCAAGATATCGCAATATCTCGACAAGCCTTATCCTTCCCGGCGTTATTCTCATCGACGCGAGAAGATACGCATTACAATATGCGTATAAAATATGCACGCCATAACGAAGCCGACCGGAACCCTGAAGGCGGGATGCACATTGCGTGTATCGACATTCGAATCGAATTCGAAGGTGCTCCTTCGCGTTTGATTTCGAACTCGATTCTCGCGAGGACGAGTCGCTCGTTTCTCTCGAGGTAATGCACTCGCGGTGCGTCCCGTGCGACTCTACTTCGGACTCACCTATTATCGGCCGGTCGTTCAATTCCCCATCGCGCATGGAGAGTGTAACCAAGCATTGCGTCGATGGGATCAGCTGGTGCGTCAATACTGTCAACAGCAGAAGAACCGATGTTAACACGGAGATCGCCATTATCACGGGAGTGAAACTTCTTCTCATCGGGAGCTCCAATCGGCGAGTGACACATAATTGCCCCTGCCGTGCCATATATATCGTTATCGCGATTTTAACATCGCAACCTTATCGTGGAAACTAGGACGCTCTTACGCTCCGATGTAAATATCATTGCGATATCGTGACGGGCAAGAAATTAAATTCGCGAGCGAAAACTCATTTGCACTCTCTACACTCTCCTCTCCCTTTCCCCTCCGGCCAGATAGGATAGACAGGATGACCAACCTAAACCATTTACACGAAAGCTTCCTCTCTTTCTCTATCCGAAAGAGATAGCGATCGCGAGATTCCGATCGGTCTAATATCGACGATTTGAAATGATTAATCAACCACCGTATGCTTCGTTTCGTAGAAATAGATATAAATTAATTCATCGGTTGTTATCGGACGACGAGTATCCCAGATAATATTAAGAGGTCCTAGAATATTAAGTCGTAAAAACATTTTTCAGACATAAGAACGTCTAAAGGGCGTCTTGAGACGGCTTTTGAAATCGACTATCGCTACAAAACGAAGAGACGGGAGAATCGGAGATTCCGTAACTAAAATATGAGGATAAACAAGGATCCTGGATAATGATTACGACGAGCGAAAATCCGATCCCGTCTGCCCGCGGATTAACGTTGATCCTCCTACGATGCGAAAGCGTCGCTCCTTAGACTCGCATTCGTGGCACTCGCATATCGTATGAATTAATGCAGCTTGAACTGCAGTACGAGATTCGTCGAAGGAATACGTTTAGTTCGGATCTACGATAGGTGTAGTAAAGCCTTAAGTTGTAAGAAGCTGACCAATCACAATTAATTGTTCTTTTCATATTCGACTGTAATTTATCAATTTCTCACTACATCTATTATAGATCCAGACTTATTTTCTAGAATAGAGACTTATTTAGGACCGATTGTTCCACCTTCTTAATAAGATTTACCCGGCAGGTATTTATTAGATAAACATCAAGAGCTGTTATTGATTGGTCGGTTCAATCTACGTTGATCAGATATGTATCGGTTAAATCTTACCAAAAAATTGGAACAACCGGCTCTTATATAGGTTCGCAAACTGTTACCTCATGCCGGGATCGTAAGAAATTGACGAATCACAATCGACTATTCTTTTATAATTCGACCGTGATTGGTCAGTTTTTTTACGCTTCCAACGTAAGTTAACGACTTACGGCCTGTATAAGTAGGCCTTGAGTTTTTCCACGCGAGCGTGACTTCTTTTCACCGCACAGAAAGAACAGGTACGCGTTGCAACAAAATGCCAGGAAGTAGCTGGAACGGCTCGCAAGCCGCGATTGATCTCGTTCGTGTGATGAACTCGCGCGACAGTTTCGAATTTGCCGCGCGCGCGTCTCAGTGTCGCCAACCGATAAGGCAGAAATTCATCGGAACCGAGCGCGCGACGAGGAGAGCAGAAGCCGCAACAGAAGCCGCGACGCACGATCCCGTGTTTTTCCTCAGTGAAGCGATTTTTCCGCCGAAATAATCGCCGAGAGGCCATCAAGTCGTCGAGTGGAAATTCGGAATCGACATATTCCCAATAATATATATAATACATCCCGCGGCAAAATGGTAAGTAACTTCGTGAGATACCGCGTCATTAGCCTCGTCATTTCGAGGTTACCTCTCCCACGTGTTTCATCGCGAATACGCTCTTCTCGCGTCGTGTTCTCGCGCGCGTTCTGTCAGCACCGTTTTCTTCTGACATCAGTACACCTTCCCTTTTTCTTTTTCTCTTTCTATTTCTCCATTCATTCGTTCGTTCTCCCTTTCTGACATCACCATCCTCCCCACAGACAGACGAGGTCAATCCGAAGGCTTATCCGCTGGCGGACGCGACGCTCACCGGGAAAATACTAAACCTCGTTCAGCAGGCGATGAACTACAAGCAGCTGCGGAAAGGAGCGAACGAAGCGACCAAGACCCTGAATCGCGGCCTGTCAGAGTTCATCGTAATGGCAGCTGATGCGGAACCTTTAGAGATTCTGCTGCACCTGCCCTTACTGTGCGAGGATAAGAACGTGCCCTACGTATTCGTGCGAAGTAAGCAAGCCCTCGGACGGGCCTGCGGAGTCTCCAGGCCGGTGGTCGCCTGCTCCATCACAGTCAACGAGGGCTCGCAATTGAAACCGCAGATCAACGCCATACAGCAGGAGATAGAACGGCTTTTAGTTTAACCGGAATCTGTACCTGATTTACATACCTCATCTCTCTTGTAAAGTCATCAGTCACTATCGTCATTGTTGACACGGATATTAACTCACGAATTAAAGGAAAAAAAAACCGAACTTGTCCTTGATTCTTTTGTAAATCACGTGAAGCTATGATATTAATAATAATAATAATAATAATAATAATAATAATAAAACCGCAAATTAAGTGTGTGCCTTGTGTTTGCGGATGTACAAATCGTGTGTCTAATGTTAGAGTACACATACACACACACGCACGCGAGAACGTACTATTAAATACACCTCACGCGAATTAATAAAACTAAAAAAAAAAACCATCGTCGAATACCAACGCAATTATCACAAACACCGGTACAGCGAGAGATAACAAAGCGTTAATTAAACAAAAGGAAATTGTATTAGTAAAATAATAAAACAAAATACAGTGAGGAGAATCACTAATTGAAACAAGGGTACAGTTTGTTGTATGTGAACAACCAATTAATATGCCACTGGAGGTTTTGCAACACACCTAGGTTCTGCCGGAACTTCTCTTCCAGCTGTCGCTGCGTCTCGTTGTTAGGGAAATCGTGGAACCAGGTCTTCAACTGTTGCGCCAACTCTGTCTCGTTCTCGAACACCAGGCCGTTCTCGTTGTGTTCCACCAGCTCGGACAAACTGTAAAGTGACAAGCGTTCAACGACGAGGATTTACTTGCCGCGGTAACAACGTTGTGTGTGAACAAAATCTATCCATTCCAAATACCAGTCGAAGTTGTACGCGCAGACCGGCAAGCCGCAGCCGAACATGTCGAGCACCTTCATCGGTAGATCCAGTCCGCTGGACGAGATGTGAAGGCACACGCCTAAGTCTGCACTGGCTGCTTCAACGAAATACCGGAGATATCTCAAGACCTCGGAGTTAAAAGCGGACTGAATTGCATGCAAACGCACGATACGATACCTAACATCTTCGGATAGTCCTCGTTCTCCAGCCACGGCGTCACCACTTTGACGTGCCGCCATTTCTTCAGATCGATGATGGCGATGTAAAAATCTTTCAACGGCCCTTTACCCGTTATCACACAGATCAAGTCGGGCAAGTTCGACTCGCCGCTCTCGCACGCGTTTTCGTACTCTGTAAAAACGGCACGAAGTCTCTACGATGCTATTTCGCGTTTGGAATTGCAGTAGGTGAACGCACCTTGCAATGCGTTCAGCAGTATGGAGAAATCTTCATCCTCGGTCCAGCTGGTACTGGACACGATGAAGCCGGGCCTCTTGGGTGACAAGTGCACACCGTTCGACGAACACTCGGTAAAGATACTCGAGTCTTTCCTGGGGCCTTTAAATACATCGTACTTCTCGGCTAATTTTAGCAGAAACTCGTGCTTCTCCGCCAAAGATATCGAACGGAATTGCTCACCTGGCCTGTCAAGCAAGTGACCTGCCCTGTAACGGACGGAAAATCTATGAGTAATTCACTCTTGAGGATGCGATATTCTTCGAAAACATACAAGTGTCGATTGATACTTCCATTACAAAGATATCAAGTCTTTGATAGTTTATGCATTTCTAAATTTCTCTATTTTCAAGAACGATCTTTTGAGAAAGTATCGGTGAATAAGTACTAACTTAATACCCCATCTGTTCAGCAAATCTAGTCGCATCGCGTTGCTGACGCAAAAATTGAGTCCCGCTCTACGTCCGAATGTCATCTCGATGAATTTCGCCAGTCTAACCAGAGCATGATCCTTCCCTAAACTCAGCGCCATGATAGAATGCGCGTAATTGTGCCAGTCAATAACGAACTGTACTTCCATCAGGACGCAATAAAACCAGGTTACTGGCATCGTTGGTATTGCAGGTGGATTCTGCATTATCAAGGAGTGCGGTATGGGTCTGCGAATCAAAAGCCACAGGAGATTGGCAGTTTGCCACAATACCTTGACCGTGTAGCTCAAAAGACGCGGCAAACCTACAAACGTGAAGTGTCAATAAATATGTATTAACAAATAACGAGCGCATCGAATGTTCGATTCGTACTGTTTTGCAATTCGGGCGGCGGCCGCAAGTGGTGCACCGATATCTGAGCGTTCTCGCGGATCTTCTGTAACGGCGGCGAGCCGGGATAACCTACAATCTCTACCGTATGGCCTTGTTTAGCGAAGGACATCGCGTGATACTGCATCCTCGGACTCCTGCCGACATCGCCGAGCACCACCAGGCGGATGATCTTGCTGCATCGGAATCGCCGCAGGTACCATTTACGTACGATTAACAAAACCGACAGAAGTGACAGCGTCAGGCCGAGCGCGATCAACATCGTCGCCGGAGAGCAGCGAGCGAAAACGAACGAAGTCGCCGGCACAGTTGCGGTTCGTTCTTTTTAACAGAATTAGCTGCACCACTGAAGATATTTGCACACACACATTGAAGCATATGAGGCGTACATACATGCGGGGTTCTCACGCTTCGGTGTGCGTAAATTTCTCGAACTGGCGTGCAGCCGGTTCAGCTAAAAGGAACAGAGCAATTGAGAAGTTCACTCAAGGTACGTATAAGAGAACATATAAGTTATTTATCTTATGCTACGCGAGTAATATGGTAGCGACCGTAATAGTTTCAGGATCCCGAACATTCTCTCCGAGGCCGGTATTTATAGTCGGATCTAATGATTTGAAACCGCCGTAAATTTCCAGATGTTTCGTAGCCAGTGAAATGAGCCGTACAGCATCTGAAGATAAACTCAAGACGGTCTCGAATATAAAGTTCGACTACGAATAGCGGCCTCGGAATTCCCTATTTAATAGCCAATCAATGCGTCTGCGACGAGCGAAATTTTCACTGCACACCACCGCTATTTGTAGCTGATGAGATGCGATATTAAAAAGGCGGGAAGCCGCAGACTGATGGCGAGCCATCATGGTGTCGTATCGTCGAGAGGCGAACAACGGTTATTTCGCGAGTATTTCGTGGAACGTTTGTATTTCGTCGCGACACGAAAGCAATTTTTTACGCTTTAGGCACACTCGCAATTTTTATTCACACTTAATAAACGAATAGTATATCATAGTATGTATAGTTGAGACACGATTAATGTTATTTTCGCGGTAAAAGTCCCTCGTCGGTCCGTCGTCGAAACATGAGGGATATCAAGCAGTACTTTAGGAACGGTGCGAAGACCTATAAGAAAGCCGTTGATTCCGCGGAGCGTACAGTGGAGGAAGAGGAAGACGTGGCCGACGCTGCGAAGGGTAGTAATCGCAAACGTAAACGCGTCAAGATCCGCATATCGCGCACCGGCTCGAACGGGAGGACCTGTGATATAGTTGAGAGCAAAAACGATCTGATCGACAAGACTCCGAGTCCATTCGCCAAGGTGAACAATTACCGAATTTCACCAAATGAAACGCCTAAGTCTCACTTAGCTAGCCCCAGCACAAGTCAGGATTCCGAAGAGGCACTGAATTAAGGAATTAAGAAGTCGCTGATATTTGATCAGTTTGCATAGCTGTAGCAAAATGGAAAGGATTTTTTGTAAATGTATAATTTCGCTAAATTCGAGTTGACGTTATTTTGATTAGAAAGCATTCAGGTTGAAATTGTTTTGGAATGATCAGAGTTTGAAATAAACGTCTTTTCGTTAATCAAGCTTTAGGAATGATTAAAGTTAAGAGGATTGCGTTCAATGTTATTTTCATGGAGAAATATCAATTTTAGGATTAGTCAAGTTACTTCCTGATGAACACATGTAACTTATTGGACCTTATTTTCAATGTTTTTCAGCTTGGCGCAGCAATGAGTGGAAATAAATCTAGAAATGTGCGGAATATCTCACAAGGTGAGAACGGCGAAACACATGGAAACAAATTAGACGAACAGATCGTTGTGGATTTGATTGATTCATCCGATGATACTCCAATAAAGAGCGTTCATGATGGAGGTCTGGCAAATGCGAGATTTTGCGATGACGATTCTCAGCGCGAAGAATCGAATGCCTTTCAAGTTCTGATGAGTCGTGGTAAACCGATACAATATAAGACGCCACCGCAACAATCCGTAGAAGCCGAGTGCCATGAGAAGTCTAGTGAAGCTAAAGAATTAAGATCTAAACGTAAGGAGAAATTGATAGCATTGGCTGATAAGAAGGGTTACTTAAAGAGGAAACTTACTGACGCGGAAGAAGGTGAGAGAATAGAAAGGAATATAGAGAACCGTATGAAAATCTTCAAAAGTAACAATAACGGGAAGGATGACGGTGCTGAGTTATCAATAAAAAATAACAAGCAGCTGTCTGGGGGCTTGTTGAATTATTTTAGGTAGAGTATACAACTGATACTGTGTAGCATGTACAGTGTTATAATTTAGTAATTTTATTGAATTAAATATCAATATATGTAGTATATATATGTGTGTTTGTGTGTCAAATTCGTAGATTACGTAAATAATTGTCAATTTTCCCCACAGCAAATCGCCCGTAGAATTAAGGAACAAGGAATGTGTGTCTACCATTATCGTGAAAGCCGACGTGCACAGAACCGAGACTGCTGACTTCGAACCCGTACCTGTACTTAAGCCGATCTCGAATAAGATTTATCCCGTTAAGAGGTGCTCGAAGGTCGACTTGAATCTTTCCAAACTGGACGACATTCACGTCATAGAGTCGGAGAATTTGACTTCTCCACCGACTCTTGTGACCGACAAGCAGGAAAAACGGCAAAAGCCCCGTTGGTCTCTACGCATAAAACTACATTCTTCCGAAGACAACGACGGTCAGGACGGTAATGATAGTTGTAAAATTTCACGTCGAATGACTATTATGATCTATGTTTCACACAATACATATGATGTTAAATGTCGCGCGAGTCTCCCGATATTTATCGGTCGATGGCGATGATATGTTTTTCATACTTTGATCGCTGATGTAAATAGCGCGTCTTCTAGCAAGTAATTATTCGGCTTCGATACTGCTGAATTGACATTCCTGATTTCCCACATAGATACTACTGACGACGAGCTGTTCTCGCCGAGAAGCAGGTCGAAGTTCGTCCCGGTCGCGAAGTCTCAGACACTCTTGAATACATACGTGGAAAACGACAGGAGCCGCTCGAAGAATCACAACGGACATATCAAGGTAAAGGCGCGAGACAAGGAGGAAAACGAGTCGCTCGGCAAGCGGAAAGCTAGCGTTCCGGCGAACGTCGTCGAGGGTCCCGATACACCTCTTGTGATACGGTCAGAGGAAGCTGGCAAAGTGGAGAAGACGTTCAACGGCGCGCACGAGACGGTCATGACCGACGATTCCGAGTGCGAGATCATCAATGAGTGCGTGTCGGGGAAGAAGCCGAACGGGAAGCTGGCACCGTTGTTTACGAAACGGCGTAGAACCGACCCAGCTGTCGTGGCGGCTAAACGCTTGTTCCTGCAGTCGGATTTGAGCGACCTGGAGAGCAAAGCCACGGACAGGAAGCCGAGCAACGTCACACTCACGTTACCATTCCCCGTCATCAGCCACGTCGCCCAGTTGGAGAGTGGCTCCTCTTCGAGCAGGTCGGAGATCGAGCATAAGTTTCCTATGAAAGCCGAGAAGAAGTACCTGCCTTCGGTGAACATCGACGAGTACAGGTGCATTACTAATTACAACGAGGCGGTCTCCGGGGCGACCGTTTCAGTCGACAAGCCCGTGAAGGGGAGTTTCGAGGAAGTGCTGTCGGAGATGGAGGAACGTTGCCCGGACGTGCCGGAAATGTGGAAGACTGTCTCGACGATCCGAAACAAGACTGAGAAGAAACGAGCGAGAGGAGGAGGCAGGAGAACCAAGTCCCTCGAGCGCAAAGGGTTGACGGGTAGCGTGGAGGCGACGACTCGGTCGCACGATTGCGTGTGGACGTGCAAGTACAAGCCGATGAGCGCGCAAGAAGTGGTCGGGAACGAGGAAGCCGCGACTAAGCTGAAGGACTGGCTGAGCGGCTGGCGAATTACGACGAAGGAGGGCTACAGCAGCGGCGAGGAGTTCTACTCGTCTGACTGCAGCAGCAACCCGTACAATCACGAGAACAATCAGACAGCCGTGCTGCTGGGCCCCCACGGCAGCGGGAAAAGCGCGAGCGTCTATGCGGTGGCGGAGGAGCTCGGCTACAGCGTGCTCGAGGTGAACGCGTCCTCCAGACGGACCGGCAAGAGGATCCTGAAGGAGCTGGAGGAGGCGACCAAGTCGCACAGAATCAAGAAGAACAAGCACGGGTCTTCGTTCGAGCGAGCTGCTGAAGAGAACGAGGCCCCGGAGATATCGCAGAACTCACTGATCCTCCTGGAGGACATCGACCTCATCTTCGAGGAGGACGAGGGCTTCGTCTCGGCGGCCTATCAGCTGGCCTCGAACACGAAGAGGCCGATCGTTATGACGTGCCGGGACATATGCCCGCACCTGAGCAGAATGGCGTCGCAGCAGAACAAGATCTATTTCCGGCAGGTGAACGGCAGCAGAGCGTCCGCCCTCTTGGAGTTAATCGCACTGGCGGAGACCGGTCACCGGCTGTCGCACGATTGCCTAATGGTGAGTTCTCTGCGGTGTCCTTGTCTCGATATTCGAATCTCCGTGTTCCCACGAGGTCTGTTCAACTAAAACTGTATTGCACTTTTTGCCGTATGCGGACTATTTGGATGTTGCCACCTAAATATCCCTTTTCCTACGCCACGTACGAAAAAAATCTTTCAGACAAAAGTCGTAAGGTTTGGAGGGGGGCATAAAGTGATGACCTTAACTTTGTTGTACAGTCAACAGTTCAAAGTCGTTTCAAGGTCAACGTTATTATTTTTTTTTTTCTTAACGCAATTACACAGTTTCTTCGACACAAATCGATTCCTCTGTTTGTCCCGCGTGTGAAAGTATTAGGATAAGATCGTCGGAAAGTGAATACTTTTCGAGATATTTTGCTTGTTCTAATATTTCTCGGCGCAAGAGATGTAAAGTATCTCATAAAGTATACATTTTTCAATAACATCGTCTTAGCAATTTTGAACGTAGAATGACAGGTGGAATTGATCGCTGTAAGCAAGTGTATGGAGAAACCAGCTTTATGATAAAAAAAACACCGACACCGATTGTGTATAATTGTAAACAGATCTATCTGTCCCGCTGTTTAGAAATTATTACAAACGGGCGATCTGCGGAAGGCGCTGCTGCAATTGCAATACCTGCTGCTGTCCGGTCCGCCCGTGTTATCCGAGCAATCCGCAACCGCGAGGTCGTCGCTTTGGCAAGACATGCAACGTTATTTGTACAAGCCCGCGATCAAACTGAGCAAGAAGCACAAGGCTAAGAAGGACAGGAGTGGCGATAAACCGAACGAGCAGATGGGAGACGATCCGGCGCGCATATTGAGCGGTTTAGCGAGCGACTTGGACGGTTTGTCCTTGGTGTCGTCTCTGATAGACGTGGACGACGTGGTTTTGAATCCGCCGAAGGCGAGCGTACAGCCCAACCTGTCCCTGGCCGAGAACCTGTCGCTGTACTCCGCGTCGCGGCGCTCCATCGCGGACATCGCGAGTTTCATGAGCGAGCGGTTACTGCAGAAGAAGCCCTTGAGCGGAAACGAGAGCGCGCCGAGCAATCCGAACAACGTCGTCCTGCGAAATCAGTTGAATCGGGGAGTCGACTTAGCGCTGTCGTACGTCACACCCGCCTGCCTCGACCGGCGGGTGATGGCGACGGATTACCTGCCGACCGCGCGAGCGATCTGCCGCGCCGAGCAGTCCCGCTGCGTCGGCAGTCACAAGCGTGGCAACCGGTTCTTCCACTATTTGCACGGCCTGAACGTGCCAACCGCGTCGATGAAGCCGAACATCCTGGCGGCCGCGTGCCGAACGTTGCAGGAGAAACTTGGCGAATTTACGTCGGACACAACGAACGTCAATGTCGATTGACACTCGGAAGATACATTTCTTGGACGTGGGAGGCGCGAGCAGTCTTATTCTGTCACGAGTCGATTTCAGCGAGAATGTACGAGCTCGCGTCTCGTGAGACGTTGTTTATATTGAATTTCAATTGCATTTATCATCATTGTTATGAAAGTCGAATATATATACATATATATATATATATATATATATATGTGTCAGTTTTTAATATTATTCGAGTATCACTTTATATCAGTGCCTTCGCTCGTCTTTGTAATCCAATTTATATGTGAGCCAAGTACAGGTATACCCGGTGTACGAAAAATTGGAAATGATGCGGGACCATATTCCGAGTGACTCACGACGACGTGGAATGTTATTCTTGTGACGGGTGATTTTTACCCTCGCACTTGATTTTTATCACCTGTGTAACGTTAAACGCGGCCGTCCGGTGTTGAATTTTATCCACTTCGATGTACAGAGTGGCGTGTGTGTGTGTGTGTGCGCGTGAACATTTCAGATGTGATAGCATGCAGCGCGACGCGAACACGAAACTTTCATACACTGCTGTTGTCTATACACTAAATACCGCAACGCACTACCAAACGCGGATCGTTAAATTTCACATTGTACAATCACCAGGGAAAATCCTCTACATCGCGAGAACATTTGACAAAAAATACATATTTATCTTTACAAACTCCTTTATTCCCACTTTCTCCATCTTTCGCGAGCGCATTGCCGGGATGATACTTAAATTTTTATATGGTGCAATTTGCGATTCAATTCCTCGAACTTGAGTATCTTGCGTATGAAGAAGTCACCGTATCGATGCGCCACCTTCGTGTCGGCGATGTGAATCATGTCGTGGTCGATGTAGAAGTCCAGCTGGAAGAACGACACGGTTTTCATCAGTATAAAAAAACGCCCAAATTAATCCACGCAACTTGTTCTTTGTTTTGAATGTAACGAAAGAGAGAGACGAGATAACAATGTATCACTTTCAATGAGTAGAATCGATATTCTGTCGAGATTTTTCCTCATAAAAATAACGACTCTATAGAATTTCATATTAGATACAAGTTTATTAGACGTTGGCTCAGATATAAACGTATGTTGAGGTAAAATCACCTCGGATCCTGACTGGAATTTCCCGTCTAACCCCGACGTGCCCTTCGTCCAGACGATGTTCTTCATCTTGTGCTTGAAGCAGAGCAAGTGGATCGTCAACGCGTTCACCTCCTTGTCCAGGTCCCAGCTCTCGTCGGAGCGCGAATTGCTGCCCATGAAGGTCGCCAATTTGCTCAGGGGCAGGGTCGTGTAGAGCTTCAGGTACGAGCGGATGGTCGGCAACATCTTCTGCTGGATCACCTCGTCCATGAACACCTGGGTCTGATGCTTGATCGCCTCGCGAACGTAGTCCTCGTTGGGATTCTCCGGATTCGGCGGCGTCAACGAGAGGAACTTGGGACAGGCGAACACGAAGCAGTTCTCGAACTCGGTGAGATCGCCGTACTGCATCTTGTACATCTTCTCGTGGTAGTTCTTGTCGCGCAGCGCCTGCTGCAGGCCCTCGTCGATGCACTGCGGATGGAGGACCAGGCAGATCGCGAGCAGGTGGTACATCTGCTCGGTCTGCTTGTTGATCTGATCGTTCTGGTAGCTCCTGGTGGCGAACAACTGCTTCGTACGCTGGATGTAGAGCAGAATACCGGAGAAGGTGCGGATCGCGTCCGCGTAACGGCGCATCATCATGTAGGCGAAGCCGACGTAGTAAGCCGTCGAGATCTGGCAGCCGGGCACGTGCGAGTACGCGCTCTTCTTGTACAGTTCCACGTTCTCCAATACTTTGATGGCCTGGTAATAGTCACCCAGCAGGGAGTGCAGACGCAGGAGCCCGACGAGCGAGAAGTAGCCGAGCATCTTGTAGAGAGAGTGCCGGCCGAAGGCGCCGGCCACGGAGTCCGGGTCGCCGCCGCTCGCGTATACCTCCAACTGACTCTTGATCTTCGACTTGTCCACCAGGTAGTGCAGGACGTTCAGCACGCAGAGCACGTCCCAGATCTTGTTGTGCGCGTTCAGATTGTCGATCTCCTCCGGAGTTTTGTTGGACAGATTGGCGCGGTACTGGGCGAACGACTGGAACTGGTAAACGAACTCGTCGATCAGCTCCCACAACCACTGATCGGGCAGCTCTAGCTGCACCGGCGTCTCCGGGTGCAGAATGTAGTTGAAGAGGTCGCAGTAATTGTAGAAGGAATTCAGACGCTGCTCCAACGTCGGCCCCTGCATACGGGCGTAGATGTGGCGGTAGTAGAGCTCCTTGTAGAGGGTCAGGAACACCGGGTCGTTGTCGACTAGATGGGCGATCGTGGACGCCTCCGGCCACGGTGACTTGTCGAACAGCTGCTCCGAGATCTTGGGGAACGAGTTCTCGTAGAGGTTCTGGATCTCGAAGATCATGCCCTCGTTGATGCAGTTGCGCAGGAATACGAGGAAGTTGCGCACGATCTCGGGCAGCTGCCGGTAGCTCGTACGGTCGTACTGGTCGTCCGGCGGCCCGTAGTCATCGTACGCGTCATACTGTGGACGGACAGAGCGAAGGTGAGCCGTGCGAGTGAGGTTATGTCGAAAGTTAACGCTAAAGATCGCGCGGATGTTACGTCGAGTAATGATATAATCGTGAGTTTCTCGGAGTGCATCAGTACCTCGTTGTAGTCGTCGTACATTTCGTTCGATAAACGGTGACCTGGACAGAACGTAACCCTTGTCTCCGACACGTACGGTGCGAGCACGAGACCGCTGCACGGAGCGTCATGGGTTGAGGAAAAACGTCGTGATTGGCGGCAATGATACTCTTTCACATTGGCTCGGTTGATGACATCATCTTGAATTCAGGTGGCCAATCAGACTTTCGCTTCTTCCCTTTATATTTTCAGAAATCGCACGCGTATCTAAATATTCATGCATCGTGACTCTCAATTTGTAACAGCGATAATTTTATAAGCAGCGAATGTTTGAAAGTTAGCGAAGCGCTGATACGTATCCGTCCGACTCAGTTCGGTAATGTGTGACGATCGTTTGTTTACTTTATCAGTTGTTGCAATTTCAACGAGGTGTGATGCTCGTTTTACGACTACAAAACTCAAATTCTCTCGTTGTGCTGGGACTCGTTATTTTGAGTCTTATATTTATGATTCAGATTAAACAAATATACAACAACAATCAGAAATATAACAGATACATGACGTACAAGCAATATGTAAGATCTCGATATATTTTTATAGATATTTTAGTAATTGTTAATTGGTCGAAATATCTTCAATAACTTTTGTCGCTTTGCTAATGTACTTTAGGAAATGATGGGTCTCATCATTTGTTTCCAGATGAACGAAATAGCGACAGAGTTGAAGGCGGTAGTGAAGTCTGTAAATAAATCATCTGCATATGTTCGTCAATTGAACGAGATGCTCTCAAAATATCGGGAAAGAACGTTGAAGAATATCTCAATGTCGAAAACTGCCTCAATATCGTAAATATTTTAAGCTACTGGGGGGAAAACTCAAATTGAAGGTAGTAGTAAGTGTTATATTGAAATTACAAATATTTGTTATTGCACTGCATTTTTTAATCTTGTATAAGAATACTGAATATATATGTACTGATTAATACATGTATTACATAGAGTATTAGTTATAAAATCTATTCTTATGATTTAACTTATACATAATGAAAGTTATAAGAGTATTTTATGTTTTTATATTGAGTATTTGCTGGATAAATGCAAAGTTATAAGGAGGAGGGAACATTTGTGTAAATACTGTTAATGTAAACGAACATTAGACATCTCTCAATTCAAAATTGAGTCCCAGCCCAGTGACATACATTGAGGATCGTTCTTGTTAACACCAGTGTCTTGGAGAACAGCGTCCGGTGCGCACATCCATGGATCCTTTGTCGCTTTCATCCAATTGAACAATCGTTCTTGAAGATAAACAAACGTGTTCTAAAATTAGAAAATACATATAAGTTATCGCACTTATCATCAACGGGAACAAATATTCGCTATTATTTCTATAATTATTCTATAATTCTACATTACCCTCATCGATGGCTTTAAAGCTATATTATTTAATTCCTCCGGATCATATTTTAAGTCGTACAACTCCCACTCCGGTCTTTGGTAGTATTGTTTTAAAGTTTTGTACCACGGTAGAAATTCGTGCTTTTGCGTCCTGTTCAGAAGATCCTGTACACACAGTATATGTGAATTAATAATTACATGTCTATATTGTTCATAAACCCTTATAAATTTGTATAATACGGGCGCAAAAAAATATAGCGTACATTGAATGTTATTTTTTCTTCTTCAGATTACCTGGAAAGTCGGAGATAGATAGAAGTCTTGATCGATAGGGAATGGCATCCTATAGTTGATATTATGTATAAGCTTGTGGCGTTTGGTCCTAATCGCACGCATCGGATAGTACATAGTAACTTCATGATGCGTCTGGCTGGCGAAGATCGCCGTGCCGTTTTCCGTGGGTTCTACAAATGGGACATCGATTATCTCACAACGCGATCCTGCTAATAGACGATAACACATACTGCCATTGATGTTGCATGCGTGTGTACCTTCACGGAGCAGTGGTAGAAGCGATTTGCCAGTAAGCTGCGGAGGAGACACTTCGTCGAGGTCCGACGACTGATTCTCGTAAGTCACGTTAAACCAATCTAATATCGTTGGGACTATGTCCAGCAAAGATGTCATGCTGTACGTTACGCTGTTCTTCCTATGGTTGTGTATCGGCGACGAGATCATCATCGGCTCAGCGATGCCTTTGATGATTAAAGATCAATAATAAGTATCAATCGGTAATTTCGATCTCTTTGCACTTTATATAAATTTTAGTTTTTATCAATTAGTAAATACATATTCTGTAGAGTTCATCTAAACAATTTAAATTCTTAAACATTGCTGCCATTCGTTTCCCGCATCTATGTGATGCAGTTTTACGAGGTATAATTAAATTTAAAAATAATACCTGGATCGTACAAGTTTGTACGGGCGTTTGGAAAAGGTATGCCATTATCGGATGTGTAAAGGATCAGAGTATCGTCCTTGTAGCCGGCATTTTCGAGTTCTTCCAGTACGAGACCAACACCTGAAAGATTTTGTACATACATGTATGTACGTCTCTCTCTTTCTCTCTCACACACACACACACACAGCTAATATTCTTCTATAATATTTGAACATTTTGTGCGTTTGTATGTTAGAAATATACATGCACATATATTTGTATCATTCTAAACACACCTTTATCCAAACGAGATATTGTTGTGTACTGGGCGGAAATGTCTCTCCTAGCGGCTTCTGTGTCTTGAACGTAGTAAGGTACTTTAACTTGGTCCCATTGATAATATATCGGATACCAATCCGGGATTGTACCCATTCCAACGTCTCCGTTGCCGAATTTCTCGCAAAAGTTACCATACTCGGGATGAGTGTGTCCGCAACGATGAGGATCGTGGAAGGCAACAAGTAGGAAGAAGGGTCTGCAAAATTTCTGATATAGATGGAGAAATCCTTGCAAAATAATGCTCATCACTCGAGAAGATAATACGATTCTTTATAATATAATTATTGACTTAACGTTGATTTTGTTTAAAGTTTCACTCACTGTGTTTTGTTGTACGAGAGAAATTCGCGCACCAACAGCTTAATATGAGTGATATTGCGGCCTACTTGAAGAATAGGATAACTTTCCTCTGTACGTTCGAAGTCAAATGGATAAACTTCGCTGGGACCTACATGCTTTTTGCCGATAAGTCCTGCATTAAAAAAGTGCTTAAATATCATGACAACAACTTTGAGCAAATTTCACTTAACGCTCGCAACAATCGCGAGCATCGTTCTGTCTTTGTTTAATATCCAAGAGAAACAAGGATAGAATAATGCTCGCGAGCGTTGAGTGGAACGTGCTCTTTACAGATCCATCAATTATTACATTTTGCAATACCTGTTTTGATATTGTTCCTTTTCAATATTTTCGGCAAACTTTGAACGTTTTCAAAGGAATTGAAATGATGAACACCTTGATGGAGGCCGTACATTCCATTTTGATGACTCGGTAATCCAGTCAATATTGCAGAACGGCTACGGATTTATAACTTAAGTTACTTCTTCTTGAGATTGTCAATTTAGATCCAAGAGATCTACCTTGGTGAACAGCTGCTGGCTGATGTGTACGCATTGTTGAACAATAGACTCTCCTTTGCCAACTTGTCCAGATTGGGAGTCTGGCAGATTTTATTCAAGTAGGATCGCATCTCGAATCCCGCATCGTCAGCTGCGAATTAAAAACAAAAAGAAAGAGACCAATGATCTCAAGTAGGTCAGATTGGAGTCAAGTATATATATGTATGTACACATATAGTAGCGGACATATATGTACGTACAGTTAGGAAAATTTAGTTTTATTCATTGTGTACTTGTACATGAAATAGTTAAACAAAAGTTCATTACGTTTCTTATAAGTTTATAGCATATATCATGAGATAGCAAAGCAGTGTTTATCGATTTACAATAACTAAGAAGTTTCTTGTGTTTGTTTGCTCAAGTGTCATATTTTCGGCGGACACGTACTTACGTACACTGTGGTAATACACAGATAGGTCAAACGTTCTCTACCGAGTAATGTAGGTAGAGACGTGTTGTGACAGTGTTGTGACAGCTGTGATGAGGAAACGAAAGAATATAACGCTAGAACAACTTCGGCAAATACAGCAGCTTCGCAAAAAATGGAAAGTCTTGCCGGAGGAAGATTTCTACAGAGCTTGGGATATCTGTTATGGCTTGTTATTAAGTTGTACAACATATTAAACGTCATGGATCGCCAGATAATTTTCCTCGTAAAGCGAGACCACGAAAAACGGTGAGACTACGGTGTGTTTCGGGTCATTGTCTGCTTGATAGATCCATTCTTTCGGCATATATTCTTCAGCAAATGGAAGCAGTACATTTGCTACGTATGTTCAAGTACGTAAATCTGTCCATGATCCCTTTTATTCGATGAATAGGACTTGTACAATTAATAGTCATAGAACCTCATACGACTACTGACACGCCACCACCCCCTATTACAGTTGATTTTATACAATTCGTGCAATATTCTTCATCTATGCGACGTCTTACATATATTTTGCCATCAGATCCAAATCGATTAAACTTAGATTCGTCAGTAAAAATAACTCGAGACCATTTGTTGTTGCGTCCAGTTTAAACGTTCTTTTGCAAACGCAATTCTACCTCGGCGAATATTTTCTGATACGAATGATTTTTTTTTAGCAACGCGTCCATGTAGTTGACATTCATTCAATCTACGTCAGACAGTTCTAACACTTATATTTTTATCAAGATCTGATGATATTTCAGCGCGAATATCACTTGCAGTTTTAATGACACTTGAGTAAACAAACACAAGAGACTTCTTAGTTATTGTAAATCGATAAACACTGTTTTGCTCTCTAATAATATATGCCATAAACTTGTAAAAAAAACGTAATGGACTTTTGTTTAACCATTTCATGTATAAGTACACAACGAATGAAACTTAATTTTCCTAACTGTACGTGAGTATATGTCCGCCACTGCATGTATAATGGATTTGAACTTCGCATAGCTGCAACTAGCTCGTTCTCGTTGACTCAACGATTATCCTTGAAAGTTATTTTTCTGTGACTCAGCAAGAAAATAGAAAACAGAATTACCCAGAAGTAGCAGAACATTCTTTTGAGTGGCGTCGTCACTCGCACCGGTGTTGCGCAATTCTAGCAAGACAATGCACAACAAAAGGCATAATTTACTCAAACAGCTGTTCCGCGACATGTCGGCGCGCACGATGCACCGGGAAACGCGCCGAGTTAGCCACGTATGTGTGCCAGACGTTATGTGTTTCCTTGCGTCAGAAGTTAGGTAATTCCGGATTACGTGTACCGTGATCAGAGATGCATCATTTTTTTCCTATGATCTTCTAATCTCTAGAACGATAACAACGCTGATACGTGGAGAGGTAAAAAATACACGACGTTCCTCCTCGACCATGTGCGCGAGAGGTTAGGTGTGCATGGGAGGTTATGTGATCAGCTCAAAAAAAGTAGTGGAAAAAAGAAGGAGGGGGAGATTGTTAATTCGTTACTTTAATACACGCGACACGTGATTTGTAATCTCGCTTTCTGATCATTAATTTCCTCCGCCTCAAAATCGTCCGGCCGTCGGACACGCTTTTATCTGGAATATCTTACGTAATCTCGGAAGATTGTGCGCTCAATTTGATCTTGCACGTCACTTTGCTCACCTTGCGAGCACGTTTTCCTCTCAAGGTATCTGTATTTGTATCAGTGACTGAAGTGGCAACGTGTTTCAGTGTTCTAGGCTGTTCAAACGCAATTCTGCATCATGTCGAAGAAGATCATCTGCTTGTTTGACGTCGATGGCACACTCACCGAACCACGACAGGTATTGCATCTTGGCTGAGTCTGTAAAATAACAACTCCCAACTATTCGGACTAGGGCTTGGTGTTGATACATACCTTGGGAAAATGCTTTGCTTCTTAGCCAATTAGTCCCAGCATGGAGAAGTATCTTCTGGAAACCGTGAAGAAGGAGTTTGACATCGCGGTAGTCGGGGGATCCGATCTGTGCAAAATTAAAGAGCAGCTGGGTGGTGGGAGCGTGTTTGAAAAGTACAAGTACGTTTTTGCAGAGAATGGCCTTATCGCTTTTAAGAATGGTAAAGCCTTGCCATCGCAAGTAAGTAGTGGGAGAAGACGAGCGACAGAACGTTAACCATGCAGGTCGAACACGCAAGCTGTTCCTAACACGTACCGTATCGCAGTCGATTCAGGATATGCTCGGGGAGGATGCGCTGCAGGACTTTCTGAATTTCGTGTTACACTATATATCTGAACTGAAGCTGCCATTCAAGCGTGGGACTTTTGTAGAATTCCGCACTGGTATGTTGAACGTCTCACCGGTGGGGCGAAATTGCACCAAGAAGGAGCGCGAACTATTCAACGAGTATGACAATGAAAACCATATCCGTAAGAAATTTATACAGGCCCTCAAGAAGGAATTTCCCGACTTGGCGTTGACTTACAGTATCGGTGAGTTGAACATCTCTGACGTTTGGCCCTTATCGCCCATCCTTGCTACCTGTAATCTTGAAAATTAAAATTGTCGAGATTTTAGAGTCTTTGTGCTGAATTTTTCATTCATTTTCATTTCATTTTTTTCTCCCTCCCAAGGGGGACAGATCTCGTTCGACGTCTTTCCCGTTGGTTGGGACAAGACGTATTGCCTGCGTCATATCCAAGGCTACGACGAGATCCACTTTTTCGGCGACAAAACGGCCGAAGGTGGTAACGATCACGAGATTTACGAGAGCGATCTGACAATAGGGCATCGCGTCACCTGTTCGAAAGACACAATTAACCAACTCAACGTCCTCCTGACGCTCGTGAAAGAAAACAGAGAGAAGGAACAGCTCAGTGTGCCGATGCAGTGCGTCTGATCGACTGTGTGTAGCCTAAACTCGAAGTGTGTTTTTCTAAGTCGAGATGTAGAGCGGTACTTTTGCTATACGGTGTACAATGCACATGCAGGATTCGTTCCCTTCTTCTTATATGTAAGAATCTTTTCTTTACTTCATCCACTGATTCTATTGCATTCCTCTGACAATATAAGAAATGATAATTATTAGTGAGCATTTTTAAGTAGGGATTCTTTGTTGCTGAATATTCTATATGAAACTACGCGCGTTTTTTTTTTTTTTTTTTTTTTAGTGATATGCGTGTCCGCCCTTTATATTCATACATGCTTTATGCATTATAGTTTGATATGCAAAAGTTATAAATGTTGAATAAAAACGTTTATCAGTATTACGAATATAACGGTTGATTTGTGTCGTGTGAGACAGATATCAATTGCATAAGTATCGCGGATACGCACACACACACATACCGTACGCATTCATCGCGCGTTTCACACATAGATACGCGTACATGTGTTGAAACGATATTAAGCGGTAATGGCGTTGAGGCGAGGTAACGCTCCGATATCCGATTGGAAGACGGGCGTGGAATCTTTTTTCAGCCGCTGATATAAAGTATGCAACGTGGCTTCGAGTCATTAGCATATGCAAATGCAGAAGATACAAGGTTAGTATCGCTGTATCCGTAGTTGCAGCTTCGGCATGGTGTACGACATCGATTGTAATCTATAATGTTGCAAATGGCATCGGGAAACACAAGACGGAGCCGATAAAATCTTATATTTTGCAAACAATGAAATGTATTACGGATAAAACTTGAAGACTTATTCATAGATAGCGAACGAGTTTTCCTAAGAAATTGAAATTTATTCGTATTATATATCTGTAATATAATTAATATATATATATATATATATATATATATGTAACATAATTATGATGTATATGTACATATACATTTAATTATGTTAATTTAAGTGTATGTAAATTAACATAATTAATTTTATATATATTTTATATATATAATATTTTATTTGTATATTATATATATACATATATTTACTTCGTAAAGATATCAGTATAAAATGTGTTTTCCGTTTGACATGGGAATTGAACGTTCGTTATGAATCCATCGCGCCTGAATCTCTATGCTCCTTGATAAACAGGCACACGTTTCGCCGCGAAAGCGGCGAGTCCTTCGATCCTGTCCTTCGTGTCCACGATTTTGCTGTAACATTGCCTTTCGACCTCCAGGCCGTCCTTAAGCGGCACCTCCACGCCTTCGGATATCGCCACTTTCGCCAGCCTGATAATCAAAAAGATTTTACGACGGTCAAGCAGCACTTCTGTGGAAGCGAGGCAAACAGTGTATATTTTTATAAATAAACGTAACGGTGGTTGATGTTGCAAGTAGACCTGTTTAAGTGTTCAATAAATATGCAATACTCGTATTACGAAAAGATAAGCGTGTGGTGTGATGCGCATTATGTAATACGTATGTGATCGTATCAGCAATTCCGAGTGTAATCAGCGTTATTTTTTTTTTAAATACCTGCTTTCGCGCTTCGTAATCGCATATGAAGTTTGGAAATTCTCGTTTGAATTGCAAATGTTCCCTCTTATCTTCGCGTTCTGTCGAACGCGTTCAACCTTGAACTTAATTTTGTCGTATTTTTTTATCTGTACTTTTATGTGCCGTCGCCTATGACACGTGTCATATTTTACTCGTGACTTGTGTGTACAATACACGCGAATTCGCACGCACGGTTGATACTTCAGAACCTGGACGCTCACCTGACGCCGATGGGACCGTTGGGCAGGATTTCCCTGGCGATGGAGAGGGCCTCCTGGTAAGCCGCGTCGCCGGTCTTGTTCTGCGGCACCACCTGGTTCACCAGGCCGATCCGCAGCGCCTGATCGCCGTCGAGGATCCGCGCCGTGTAGATGAGCTCCTTGGCCTTGGCGGTGCCAACTATCCGCGGCAGTCTCTGCGTGCCACCGCCACCCGGTATTATCGCCAGCTTGGTCTCCACGAGACCCATCTTGGCCTCCGAGGCGGCGACTCTGATGTCGGTGGCCAAAGCCATCTCCAGCCCGCCACCCAGGGCTATGCCGTCGATCGCGGAGATCACCGGAGCCGGCAGTGTCTCCATGTCGCTGAAGAGGCTTCTCAGGGAGGAGACGAATCGCGGCACCTCGCCGCTGTCCATCTTCAGTCTCTCCCGCAGGTCCGCCCCGGCGCAGAACACCTTCGGCACGAGACTACGCAGGATCAGCACCCTCAGCTTGTCGTTCTGCCTGAGGGCGGCCAACGTTTCGTACAACTGCGAGACCATGCCTTTGCCGAAGGAGTTCTTGGCGGCGGGCCTGTTCAATCCTATCACCGCGATACCGTTGTCCTTGCCGTCGAGATAATTTACGATCACTTCCCTCGCCTCATCCTTGACGATACTGTTGCTGGGCATCGCGCTCGTGGCCAGTGTCCTCGACGCGCAGATGCAGAGCTGATGGAAGACACCGACCCGGACGCTCGTCGCCAACGGAGCCATCGTGTAACTGTTTCGCGCACCTGGAGGTTTCGTCCTTTAAAACACGAGGATATCGAAGTATGTAAAATTCGAACTGACAAACACCAATTCCACCTTTCTCCGTCGTGTGTTCCACCGTCGGTTCATTGTGCGCGCGGATTTTTCCACATAACAGTTCTCACCTGACGTTTTTCAATTAGTTACAGATAAATATTCATACCGTTTGCGCAATGGATTTTTAACAAGCGAACAAACGTACGACCGTCGCGCACGAAGCCGCTCGCGCTGAAAATAGCAAGGTTCAGTTCCGGGGAAAAAGGCCCGTGTTGTTATGTTTACGAATCAATGTGAACGGGGAAAAAAAGTGGGCAAAACGCGGGCTTGCATCATTTTCAGACCGGGCGACTATCGCTCGTGAAACCAAACCGGTTCTCGCAGATCCTTTCCGGTGAATGAAGCAAAAGAGAATGATGTCCTGCGCGATTAACTCGGAAAATTAAAGGCCGGACCATGCTTCAGAAGCGAAAGATAATTGAATGACGATTTAACGCGGGCGTTCTCAGCCCAAGGTTGAGGACGTCTCCCTCGGGCACCGGGTGTGCTTTTACCTCGCGCAGCTTTGCTCTTACAGCGACAGGAGGCGGAGGAGGACGAAGTCCGCAAGACTAACGGACGATCATTGCGAGAATTAAAACTAAGAAAAAAAAAGGAGAAAAAAAAACTCCTATGCAGTTACTCGATATCAACGCGAATGTACATGATGAATTTTCCAAAGAGAAACTCACTCAAACACAAGGGACCGGTTTCTCCCGGGCAGTCTCGGCGTGTAATTCCAAAAAAATCTTCCACGTCGTTATCCTTGATCCTATTTCGGGATCGCGATGCGACAGGCGTGCAGGAGCATTCGCGTGTGTCTCCGCGGAATCACGCGTGCATAGGTGACGCGACAAACAGAGGAAAGCTCGCCCGCTCTCTCTCTCTCCCTCTCTCTTTGCAGCGCGACCCGTGTTTTGATTTTGATCGTGTCGCGCACGGGAATGCCGTCCGCGCGATGGACTTTAAACCTACACTGCGCGAACGCGGTCGTCGTGTTTCGTCGACATTACGACATTGAAGAAGAAGCGGAGACGAGCCGCGGTGGTAGGGATAGAGTTGCGAAGAAAGTCCTCGAGCGAGCGAGCGAAAATCCCCAACGATGAGCGCTACCGCGCCGACCACGTCGCGCTCACGACTGCTTCCTTCTTCATTCTCGTCGACCTGCAACGAGCAACGAAAGTAAACAACGCGAGCGTGTGCGTGCGTGGCGCGCACGTGTGCCCGGGTAGAAGGCCCCGCGCGCACGCGCGTCACGTGGCCCCGCCACGTGACCGTGATGGCGGCAAACTTGGCACGCCCGACCAGTCTTTCTTCGAGCCCGCGTTCGTTCTTCTCTTTTGCGCATTTCGCTCTTCCTCGTTATAGCGTATGTGCTAATAAATACCGCGAAGTACGGTGCAAATTGAGCGCGAACGTCGTTAACACCGTGGAAGGACACGTGGAACTCGTGAACTTCGTGAGCCGCGTCCCCGGCGGCTTCGCGTTGAGACTCGCGGAGGTGATAGCTACGTTCAGTAAACGTTGTACAGTGGCTCATCAATTCGTCGATGTAATTGATCTGAACTCTGGGGATCTAACAGCAAAGCTCACCGATAATCGCCGAACGCTCACTGATCGCTTGCGTCGTCCGAGCGCAGCTAATGGGACAGGGTTCCTCTTTATTTTGTCGAAGCAAGTGATTTTTTTCCGGGACCGGTGGGAAATTGATCGACGCAACATTTTGTTCGTGTACACATTCTGTATTCTGTAATGTATCTCGTAACAGCTATCCTTACATTCATCTAAATACCTAAACTCGTGTAACGGCTTGGTTTCTATGTTGCCTCGATATTAAACTGTAAGTATCTTTATGTCGTCAGACTCTCCGAAAGCGAATTACAAGCTATGGCAAATAAATAAATAAATAATAAATAAATAAATAAGGTATGTACGGTCGAGCATGTGAAGTCGGTTCAACGTGGAATCCTCTGTCTCCCTTTCTCTCTCTCTCTCTCTTTCTACTGTATTACTTTGAAATGTCAGACTTTTACTTTGAACACAATTGCGCATGGACGATTTGGAGTGAAGTTTTCTCTGGCAAAGAATATCGAGCCGGACCGTCGAGGCGGTTCACAATTTTCCCGCTTACGATATTACAACTTAATTACGTCTACGCTGTAGAAAAATGAAGAATTCGCGTAAAATAGAGTCTACCCGAAGTCACCTTTTCTCCGAATAAGCTTATCTTGCCTTGGAAAAGTCTCTCTCTCTGATTTCCCGCGATCGCCGCATCGATCGCCCGAGCGAAGCGACATCCCTCGAGAGATTTTTTTCCCAGGGAGAAATCAATCGTCGAATTTCGCCGATCGGACGATCCGACGTCGTTTAGTAAAAAAAAAAAAAAATGCGTCACGGCCGCGGGGACATGGCGCGCGCATCCTGTTTGACGTTACTTTCTCCCGCGAGTGTGTCGCTTCTCATTCGCATTATCTCGAGTGAAAAGTGACGATCGTCGCGCCATATTATCAGCACGAATCCAGTTACATCCGCCGGAGTCGACGAGCGCGCGGCTTTCGCATCGTGCCCGATGATGACAAATGGCAACGCCGTCATCTTTGTACCAGAAAACGACCGGCCGATCGACGCGGCGAAGCGCGGCGCCGCGTCGAATCGCGATCGTATGGTACCGCCGGCGTTTGCGATTTAAGCGGCAGGTGCGACAGGTGGCGGCCGCAGCATCGACCTGGTGGCCGAGGAAAGTTTCTGCGACACCAAATGGGCGATATGCGAGGACCTCTTCCACACGAATTCCCGCGTCCGGTCGTGGTCGTCCGCGCTTTCCACCCGGACCTGACGAGCAAATGTACGGGCTTTAATAATCCGCGGCTCTCCTCGCTCTCTTTCCCGGCGCAGCGAAATCTCAGTGTTCTCTCAATCTCCTGCTTGAAACGAGCTTGAAATTTAGTCCAACTGGACGATCATAAAACTGATGCGACATCCCGGGAAAAAATGATTATATGGGAATTTTGTATACGTCTATGTATGATCATATGTAATTATATACGTCCTACATCTGGAAAATACTGTTATACGAGTGTAATCGAAGTAAATGCTTATGCTTATGGCTGCCCACGATGTAAACACGCGTAAACATGTATAATTATGTAACCGTATAGAAACGAAATTCATCTATAAATTACGTATGATCATATATAATTATGTATAATTTTATATGATTATTAAATTATATATAATTTTATATATAATCTTTATTGCCCGGGACGTTATCGTTCGTATTTATCGTATGACTTGCTTAATCTTCCATCAGAGAAAGGAATTGCTCGTATTATGCGGTTAAATTAATGTCCGCAATAGTCGAGAAAACATACAGCTATAAGATTTTATAGTTTCCAATTTTAAGTTCACTTTGGTTTGCGAAATTTTCGAATTTCTACACTGAAAGAAAAAAAGTGCTACATTCAAGTAATGTTTATTTGATCTACTTGAAGTGATAAAATGGATACTCCTTAGCAAATATTTATTAGCAGTAGAAATATAATTGACTATGTACAATATGCAAGTTTCTCCAATGGAAACGAAATATTACATAATTGTAATAAATATTCTCTTAAATTAAGAATAATTTCCTTATATGCATTTATTTACAAATGAAAATATTATTACGTTAAAGTATTTATTACATGTCATCGAAATATACTTAAATTGATACAAATATTACTTGATTTGAAAGGCTGAAACAGGTAATTACTTGATTCTAGCTTTTTTACTTCATTCTTTTGTTTTACTTGATTCTAGCACTTTCTTTTCTGCGTACGTCAGATATTTGACTGATGACTCGATTTCCCTTTAATTTGACTCAATTGCAGTCTGCATGAACAAAATTAGCACAACCACGAGGCTTGGTTCTCCTTACACGATTCTCTTACTCTTGAGCGTATCAGAAATATCGACGTACCTGCTTAGGCTGTAAGACCCGGATGGAATGCAAGGTCGCCGCGCCGCCGTGCAATACGCGCAAGCTCAGCTTGCCGGACATCTCGGCCGTGGTGGCAGTCGCGCTTCTCAGCTCTTTTTTCGCGGCCCTGCCGAATTCCTTCTCGACCTTCAGCACCAGCGGGCCAAGGCTGAACTTCGTCTTGATCGTGGTGTGATCGCTCATCATGTTCACCGACACGTCGCCCGTCCTCTGCAGAGATGCGAGCCCGTACAAGGTAGCCTTCGCCTTTGGCTTGTTCTTGGATTTGTTCTGCAAATTCAATTCAAATTCACTTGAATTTGTTCCTCGGTTAAAGGTGTGTTACCCATTAATGCCGTAATTTTAGGTATCAAGGAGGCCATTCATAAATTTAGTATTTATTACGCAAAATTAATTCCTACACATTTATTTCATTACGTAAATAATAAATGTTAATTTAAAATGAAGTTGAGGTAGACATATATACATAATATTACAAATACGAAAATATAATTTTTTTATACTTAGCACTCGAATAGTTAATCTTTTTTTAATTGCACGAGCAATGAATCAGATAATATTTCAACATATGGTGCAAGTTTCATCGAATTCTCATCAAACTCATTTCACTTTACAACCTTCTTTAAAATGGAATAACTTTCGATCTAAACTTGAAATTACTGCCCAAACTTTTGGCGTCATTTTCAAATGCAACGTCGATCAATTTTTTTTCATAATTTTTTTATTACTTCGAGTGACGCATCATTAATTCGAATCCGTTATTGCGTTCATTTGATTTATCGTCGGCATTTAATTAGTACAGATATCATCCGGTGTTCGGAAAGACCTTTCATTTTGCTAATCTCGATTCGAGGTCTTAATTGACGTCTCCAATTTACGTCAAGAAGCAGATTTCAAATCAATCATCAATGGGTCAGATCTCAGATCGATCTGGTTGGTTTGACGTAAATCTCAGAGCCTGTCTGTTTCATCGGATGATTAAGATCATTTCTTACTCACCTTGTTTTTGTTACCGCCGTTTCCCGTGCCGTTGCTCGTGTTCTTCGTCTTGTTCTTCGTCCGCTTGCGGTTCTTGCTCGGGCCCTTGTTACCGGAGGTGCGTCTGTTGCTGGATCTCACGCCGGCCTCCGTGGCGAGCGTCGTTGTAATCGGCTCCCTGTCCGTCGAGTCCGCCTGCGTCACCATGGACTCGGTGGTCTGCGTTAGCTTCTACGAGTACGGAATACGCGCGGGATTACAGAACGAAGATCACACCTGCGACGACTCTCGAGAATCGCGCCGACGGAGACGTGCCTCCAGGACGTACCTCGACGACGTTCTCGTTGTCGCTCCTCTCGGTGACGCTTGCGTTCGGCCTCGTGGCGCTCTTCTTGGTACCGTTCTTCCTGGTGCCGCCCTTCCTCTTCGGCTTACCCTTACCCTTGCCCGACTTGGAATTCGCGTTCGGATTCGTCAGCCGCACGGTCACCGGCTCGTAATTCGCGCGCAGGATATTGTTGATCTTGCCGAGGATGTTATCCACGAAGCGATTGTATTTCGCCACGTAGATCGCCGGCACGTGGCCGCTCGGCTCGGACTCGGACATGCCACCTAAAACGGCGACGAGTCGCATCGGTCTCGCTTACCCCTCGCCCGCCCGGCGGCGATGTTCCCGACTTCCCAGCGGCCTTTCTTCAACGCGAATTTCACGCGTCGTTAATCCGAAGCGCGAGGAATCTCATAGGCAGCCAGCCACGGCAGCTAACTTCGCAAGTCTTCTTCCGCGAGAGAAGAGTATCGGCCGACCTGATTCGACGCGAGGCGACCCGAATCGGGACGGACGAGAAAGAGAACGGCTCTTCCGCGCGCGACCTTGAAAGGCACTTCCCGCCGAGGTCACCTCGGCGTGTCGTCCGGGTCATCGACCAACGCGGGGACGCGCCTTCTCGGATGCCTCACCGCCAGCTGGCGCGTTTTCTGGGTTTTAATGAAGGGAAACGCATTCCGTCGCTTCGGACCGGCTCTACCTCACAAGGAAGTCGACATCGCCGCGATGGTGGAGCCTACTTAGAGCAACGCGCCGGCGACAATGTTAACGGTATATCGGAATCCGTCGGAGCGGCCAAACTGGTACCCGATCTGGGTCACGACCTCCTTCTTACCTACAGGCGCTCACCTACAGACCCATCTAGCCGTACGAGCGAGCGAGCGCGTTTACGTACCCAACAACCGGGCCCCGATCTCCTGCGTGCCCACCTAAAAACTCTCCCCCCGCGGTCGTTGCACCCGCAGTACGCACCGAGCACACTTTCATCGAGCGCACGCCGACGCCGCCTGATGAAAATCTCTCGTGTCACGGACAATATCAAGGCCGTCTACTTATGAGATGCGGCATTAGGCCGTCTTCGAACCTCCGCTCGGCCGGAGGCGATCCCCGATAACGAGCGATAATAATAACTCATTATCGTACATCCGTTATCCGTTCTGCGTTCGTTATCGCTTCGCGCCGAGTGCACTCGAAAATGTTGCCCGTGTGACGCAATCGGTCCGACTTTTCAACACTCGGCAAAAGCGCTTCCGCCGAGGTTCTCGTAGCTGCACAGCGGAGGAAGCCATGTGCGTCTCGTATTTATTCGGACACTCGATCGCACCGAACCGTCGAGACGCTCGTTAAAGCATCGACGACAGGTCGCAGGACAGCCGGGAATGAGAGGAATAAAACCGGCTCTGAGAAGTAACAGGTAAAGGTTGAATCTGGCCTGTGCAAGCAGCGGAAATGCAACGGACGAAAATATCACGGAAAATTGGAGAGAGCCTTATGATCGATGTGGAAATCGTGTGAATACCCTTGCTCGCATTATCTGCCTCGGCACAGTTATCCGGCTCTCTTCTTTAAGGAGGTTGTAAGGCGAAATGAGTTTGATAAGAATTCAATGAGACTTGCATTATATATACACCGGAATATTACCTAACCCGCCATCGGAGAGAAGGGATTGATCACTCAAAAGCTGAGATATTTACAATTCAAGTCGACGCTTCTCGTGCGTGTTCCTTGAGATTAGCGTGCTTTTTAAATGTCTATTCTTGATACTTCCTAAATTATAAAAATCAGATTTTAAGGTGAAAAACTACTGTGGCATTCGAGATTTGCGGGCAGACATTTCAGAGTGATTAACTATTTTCTTTTGAAAATACAGTAATGTAAAGTAGTTTACAGTGATATTCGAAATATATATATAAACGTATGCAATTATTTGAACACACGACACTGAGCCTTACAACCTCCTCGAGTCTCATCGTCTGTTGCAAAAATCGACATCGATCGACGACACGATTCGCGGGTGAAACCCGAGTGCATTCTTCTTCCAAGTTTCGGGCTTCGAGAAACGGAGCCGCACGCGTGACCGGAGGACTAACGGCGACGTGTTACATCGGCGCAGGCCTGGTCTCGTGACGAGAACCGAAGGACGGCGATAATGTTCGGCAACGAGTCAGGGTCGCGGTCATGACCACAGTCTCTTCCGTGGTATCGCTCGGGCTCTCGGTGGCCTCGTTTCTTTTTCGGCTGCTCGCGGTGAAAGCCGGGGAAAAATTTCAACGCGGTCACACCTTTGTTGGATTTAACCCGGTAGTCACGTAGAAAGTTAATTGGCCGTGGCGTGATGGTTCGTTCGAGAATTCCTCTCGGTTAAAAGCTACTCGCGCGCGAGTCGAAGCTCGCTTACGTCGCCACGATGTTGATTACTTCATTTTTGCAGTTTCGCTACGACAGGAGAGGGAAGGAAAAAGATTCGCACGGTGACTATTCCCCGCGACTGGATTCACGCACGGAGAAAGGGGAGAAAGATTTGTTACACGGAATAAATGATTTCGCCGTTATAGCCAGATTTCATTCGCATTATTAGCAATTCATACTTTTGATCAATCCTTTCGCTATGATTAGAGTGACAAATCATTTGCTGTGCCAGCGAAAAATTTTGCCCCGTGCGAGGATCACCGGACCGTCGTCCTCGGGGATACCACGAGGACACTCTCCGCTTCGAATCTTCCACCTTCCTCCCTTTCCACCGATTAGTTATCAACTATTTAGCTCTACTTATCAGCTAATGTATTAGTGGCTAACTACTGCTAATTCTATATCTACTGATGGAGTCCAAAGGCATATACGGGAGGTGAGGGGGGACTAGGGTGAAGGATGGGATACGTTCGAGAGGGTATCGTGCTATTCTGTCCAGGTACACGTTGTTACAGTCGATTGTCAAGAACCGTCCACCAAACACGCGTTCATCTACCAAACATGGATAACCAGAACACAAACTGGAAGCGACAGCTTGGCAGGCAAGAGAGCGCTTTCTACGGTCTACGATCGCGAGACGGACGACGAGAGAGGAGGAAGAAAGGCAAAGAAAGCAAGTGGGTACGAAGCTAATTCAAGTACGGGCGGTGAAGGAGAGAAGCTAATCGTCGTGCACTCGAACAGCCAGGCGGCTCGCCACACGTCACGTAGCAAAAGCTCAAGGAGCACGGTGTGAGGCGCCCTTTTCCCAACGAATCCGCCAATGATCGAAGCCGTCCCCGTAGATCTCGTAGATCTCGCTCGTTCGAGATCCCGAATCCCGACCTCGCGAACTCCGGCTCTCGCCGGCGACGTTTCTCTCCGACGTCCGCTCGCGCGTCGGAAGTCGATCCGGTTGAGACTCGAGTCGCGATTTCTAGTCCTGATCGTAGAGAAAGAATAAAACAGAAGAAGAAGAAGAAGAAGAGGAAAGACAGAGATTTTTCTTTTCTTTTTTTTTTACTACTCGACGCGTTTACTTCTCAGCTAAGAGGGCAGAGAGAACTCTTTTCCTCGCGGATCACACGAGCGCGCGACGAGTATCTGGACACAAAAACACGATAAAATGGTGAATGAAATAAAGAGACACGGTACACATACACACATACACAATTTTGCGAAAACAATAAATTATCTGTATTTTCGTTTCTCTCTCTCTCTCTCTCTCTCTCTCTCTGCAATCCAGAACGGACAATGGTTCTCTGTACAAGTCTTGGTCTAGAGTTAAATAGAGAAGTGTCGTGATGGAACTCCCGATAAGGTCGCGCGTGCGGGACAATCGTCACCGTTATGTCGACGTCACGTTTAACTCGGCAGAGGACAGGCGATTCTGACGAGACTGTCGCGACGGCCGATTATGAGACTCGACAGGACGATCGCATGCTTCCAAATCCCGCGATTGCCGATGAGAGATCTCACGTCGGGAGATGTTGTCGTCTCTCTGCCGGATTAACGTCTTATCGCTAATTCCAGAGAGTGAAAACCGAACGGGATCGATCTCCCGTTCTAATTCCACTCAGGTGGACGATATCAGTTGTCGCTTATCCTGTAGACGAGACCGATGATCTCTCTCTCTCTCTCTCGTTCTTTTTCGCATTTACATGCATTTTCTCGCTGTTTTCCTCATTTCTCTCTTTCTCTCTCTCTCTCTCTCTCTCTCTTCCTTTTAGTTCGTTTCTACGATCATCCGTTCGATCGACGGCATGTCAGTGGTGAGTGTTGGAAAAAGGGGCAACTACGTGACGTGAGATCGCCAAGCCAAAGCGCTTCGATGCTATGCCGAACGACGCAAAGGTTTCGAAGACATTTCGAGACACGAAAACCCCGGAGTGGCCGAGTGCTTTTAAAGAAGATATTGGGAAGATTAGGTGTTACGTATTTCGTGCATCCAAATGGGCTATCTAAGGGACGTTTCAATTGTTAGAAAAATCCCTCGGATTATCCACAGGATGGATCAAGGACGACAACCAAGCCAGACATCTGGGAGAGTCTCCGGGAGAGTCTTCGGGACGTCCTCGAAACGTTTGCGTTCGGTTCGGCACGTGTATCAGTGTCTCCCATGTAGAACCTCCGTCATGCTCGGTCGTGACACAACAACAACAACAACTACTGCTACTTTCCAAGTTAATCAGAGAGAAGTCGACACGAGTACTACATTACCTCGCGTTGTGTGGCCGAAGAGTGTGCTGAAGCGGTGTCTCGCGAAGGAACGAACGTGACGCGCGCGAATCGTGACGGAAGAAAAGAAGCGTGCGCGATTCTCGAGAGCCTGTGACTCTCGACTACACAGTTCGTTGCACACTTCTGCACAGCTTCGGGTGCGAGGTTGAGAAACGTGCCAGGTAGAACGGAGAATAAAGATGACGAGAAAAATGATGCTAAAATAAGCGGAAATTGATAGTCATTTTCCCGTTAACTTGACGTCATTTTCACGCCATTATTATGTTCCGTTTTACCCGGGGATTGGGAGGCTTCGACGGGAAAGTACAGAGAGAGATGTAAGAGCGACGTACGCCACGGACGGAGAGATATTCGGACGGTCCGTGTACACGACGCGACCCGCGACCGACTCTCGAGTGTGGAGGTATTGTCGTGAATAAATATAATAAATAAACTAACGTTAGACTCGGGCCTGCGGGCGTCAATCGGGGTAAGACGATCGTCAACGGTGTGCAACGACTTCCTCGCCGAACGGATCTACTCAGAGAGCGCGAACTTCCGTCTTCGAGACCGTCCTCCTCTCGCCGGACTCCCGGAAGTTCGTGCTGACCGGGTACGCTTCGCGGTGGCCGCGAGAGGAACGCGACGTGGTCGCCGGCAGGGTAGCTCGCGTTGCACTCGCGGGAAAGAAGATCCGTTCGCGGCGCGGCTTTAGACGCTCTTCGACGCGGAAGAAGAAGAAGAAGGAAGCGAAGAAGAAGAAGAAGAAGACGCGGGAGAGGCGAGCGCGGTCGGCTTTCGCGACTTGCGGGCGTGCTTGTGCCCGACGACGGCGCTATGTTTCTTGGTCTTGCCCTTGAACTCACGTGCGTGCCTAGCGCCGGCGATGTTGGCGATGTCATCCACCTCGTCGTCCTCGTCATCGTCGTCGTCGTCGTCGTCATCGTCGTCGTCGTCGTCTGTGATGTCCAGGTCGACGTCGTCCTCATCGTCATCGTCGTCGTCGTCGTCGTCGTCGTCGCTCGGGGCGGCCGCGACGGCGGCCGGTGGCACTTGGACTACCGGTTTCGAGATGGACTCGGCACCTTCGAGGCTTTGCTCGTGCACGCTCGACGCGGCCTGAGCTTCGGCGATCTCCTCGTCGTCCTCGTAGCTGCTGGTGTCCTCCTCGGCGCCAGCCGCGTCGGCTCCAGCGGCGTCCTCGGCGGCTTCCTCGACGCCCTGACTCAGATCGGCTGCCACTGCCGAGGGTATCTGCTGCGATGAGCCGACCACCGGCTGCTGAGGCTGCGGCTGGACCACGGCAGGCGCCGCGGGCGTGATCGGCGCGACTGCCACCGGCTCGTCATCGTCGTCGTCGTCGTCGTCCTCTGCGAACAGCGAAGACGCGACATGCGATTTCAATGGTTCCGCGCCTCTTCGGAGATGCCGTTCGTCGTTTTACATTGAGTTAAATTAAGAGCCGAGTATCGAGGGATCAATCGGTTGCTGTAAATCTCGACTTGGACGCAAATTGCGACGGCGATTGCGTCGCATAGCGCAAGAGCGATATTCCCGTGCAAAGCGCACCGGAATCCGAGTCGCAACCTACACGCATGTTTCGCGGAGCAAGAGACATTTGCATAAGATATTCAACGACGTGTCGAGCATGCGGGGCACGCGGATTCGTGAAAATACTCGGAAGAATGCACGGGTGAAGTAAAACTCTCCGGGTGGAAGCGTGCTTCGAGAAACGGTCGAGGACTCGGGTAACCCGAGAGGCAGAGGACATAGAGCCAGTTTTATATCGGATATGTACGGCCGTCTCGTATCGAAACAGGTTTCAGCCGCATCGCGACTGCATCATCGAGATCGTGCTGTGAGTGATCTCCCCCTAAAAAGGGGAGGGAAGAGAAACGGGATACCAGCGCAGCAACAAACGATAACTTAGAATGTCCATCACCGAAAGGACAGTTCGTCGAGGCGCGCCGACCGAGCGCTCTCGCCGATTCGCGAATTCTCACGGATTCGTGCGACGCATCGCGTAAGCGAAACACGGACGGCTTAAGGATCGAGGACTCGGATTATCTTTTGGTATTCAGGTCAATGCGAAGAAGTAGCGCGTAGAAATTTTTTCCCGAACCGAGATCGCTGTCGATTTATGTTAATTTCGATGAGCCGAAGCATCCTGTACCGTTACGGTGCGTGAATACCGGAAAAGAGAGGGAAAGAGAAAGAGAGAGAGAGAGAGAGGGAGGGAGGGAGAGAGACGGAGGAAAAGAAACAGAAAGATACTCTATAAATATCTTCGGGGACTCAAAGCGCCTCGTGTTGGCGTAACGGCGCGTATCGGTCGTGGAGCCCGGAATGCATCCGATTAAACGGAGAGCAAGGAATTCGATCGTACACGACGCGTCCCGTGATCCCCGAAGAAAGGGAAGGAAATCGATTCATCGTTCTCCTCATTCGGCCTCCCAGTGAAATGGTTTCTCGAGTTTCTCGAGTGATTCACCGATCGATAGTAAAAATGCGAATAAAGCTATCGACGCGCGCCGCTGAAAACACGAAGACCCCGAAAGACAAACTTCCTTCGGATGGCACACAGGAAAACGTAAACAGAAAGGAAATTGACCAATCGTCGGTCGATTGTTCTCCGACCGTTAGGAGAACAGCCGACTACGGACGGTGAATTTTCTTACTGCTGAAATTTTCTCGTCCACCTCGACCCTAACAAATGCCGATTGGTCGATCTTCTTGATCATTTCGTCCCGAGTTGATCTCTTTCGATCACCAAGAACCCGACATCGGGCCTTTCGCTCTCCAAATCGTCGTGAACGATCCAAAAAACCAAATAATAATAATAATAATCTTTATTCGCGGGACAAACTTTAGTGTACGATATCAAAAATAAGTCTAAACAGAGGTAAATACAGATTTAAAAAAGAATCTTTTTTATCTAAACATTAAGATACCGCGATAAAAAATTAATATCTCCGACACACTGCAAAGTGTCTCTAAATGTAGAGGTAGTTTCATGAAAGAAATCGACGTTTTCGAGAATAAATCCGGGAGGAAGTTTACTATCGTGTACGAACTCTGTTAACAGAGTTTCGGCCGTACAACGTTCGATTCCGTATGACGTAAAAAAAAGACATCGCCTCAAAGATCTGGGATAAGCTATCAATTTAATATTCTCTAAAATATCCGGACAATCGATGGAATGATTAATCATTTCAAGAACACAAAGAGAAGATCGGATATTTCCTGCCTTTTTCGTAGGGACGACACATTTAGCTTTAAAAGGGTATCCCTATAATCATGGCGCATAACATTGACATTGGCTCACCCAAGCGGGAACTAGCCAATCTTAGGAATTCGCGTTGCCCCCGTTCCATCGAAATAATCCGATATTCCAGACAAGGGCGGAATACTGAACAGTATTCCAGCTTGGAGCAAAGCAACGTGCGACAGAGCGAACGCGTAATGCGAAATGAAGAAGCGCTCACCTCCAAGTATGTCCTCGATGAAGCGCTCGAAATAATCACCATCGTCGTCGTCGTCGTCGTCGTCCTCGTCATCGTCGTCGTCATCGTCGTCGTCGTCGTCGCCGGTGATATCTAGATCGACGTCGTCGTCGTCATCGTCGTCGTCGTCGTCGTCGTCGGCGACGGCGGCGGGTGCCGCCGGTGCCTGCCTGCCGGTCTCGACGGCATTCTGCGTCGACGCCTTACTATCGGCGATTTTCGGCACTGGCGAGGCGAGCGTCCCTGCCGCCAGACAACACAGCAACGTCAGCACTGCCACCAGTCTCATGGCTCTGTAAGCGTAAGGAAAATCGGGATTAATGACCGTCGGATTTGAAACCGGCCGCTCGACATTCGCCAACACGGCCGGCGCGTTACACGATCGCTCGCGCGGATGATCCGCTACGCGCGCAACCCGCTCAAGCATCGGGACGACTAACGCGTTACGGTACCCCAACCGGAGGATCAACCGTAAGAAGTCACGCCTTTCAGCTCGTGGATCGGACTAGGACAGGTGGACAGGTGCTCGAGGATTGCGGACTGAAAACTGACTCGAGGCGAAGGTCGAGCCGAGATTGGCTGACCCGGCAAAAGTCGTTCACTCGACTCGGCAAAATGAATGAATTTCAATAAAGCGCTAAAAACATCTCGATCATAGCGTAAAATGAATACCTCCTTCTTTTTCATTCGAAATTACTCGAATTGTCGATAGTTGTAGTCTCTAATTCGCGGTCAATTTACGATACTGAGAGTTCGACACCCCGAACTTCATCGTACCCGATATTAAATACGAGCCGATATTGAGGAAAATTCAGTTTAATTTTCTTCATTACATCACGTCTACCGTGCTATCGGCTCTTCATGCACCGACAATTGAAATCCTCGCGGACTCGTTGTTTCTACCGAGTGTCCCTCTCCGCACTTTCGCCGTTATCTTTGGCCGGCGAAGGCTACGTGAGAGCAACTTTTCTATTGAAATAGCGGCGGGAGCAGAGACAGCGCAAATGTGTGACTCTACATACTTCCTCTTCTTCCTAATCTCTCACCAGTAACGACATCGTTACGTTTCACGGAAGCGGAACTCGCGACGGGGTTCGCGACGTTCGTGGGAGGGGAGGTCCCACGGGGAGGCGAGTACGCACAGCGAACATACGTCACACGAAGAGTAGACTACCGGCCGCCTCACTGATACCAGAGCGTCGTGCACTTGTATATGTTTATCACTCAGCCGGCGCGAAGCGAGGATCGAGCCTTCGAGATCGAAGCGATCGCCTCGGATTCGAAGCTCCCCGGCGTGCGTCAGTCTCGTGGGTGTCCCGCCGATCGATTCACCGTTTTCAATGGTTCCTGCGGCGCGAAAGGCACTATTCTCTCCACTTGGCTGAGGAGTATCCGGTCGCAGGAGTACTCGGGATCCTTGGGAGACTCACCTCGCTCTCGCTCTCTGTCACTCTCGCTCCTTGTTCCACGTCCTCCCGGAAGGTGCAGCCGCGAGGTGTCCGTGAGACGATCCTTTACCTTCCTTCCTTCCTTCCTTCCGACGATCGATGACGATCGTGGTATCGTGCGTGTCCGATCGATCCACCGAGCGGCCCGGTGAGAGTGTTAAAACAGACGAGGCGCCGCGACGAGACCCTTTTATACCGGCCTGCCTCCACCTCCTTTCGTACTCCTTCGTCGTCCTCCTTCTCGTCGTGCTTTCTTCTTCCTGCGTTCGCGCCGTACTACTACACTACCACCTCCGGCTCTCCTCCACGTGGCCGAGCGTTTTCTCCCTTTCGTGACGGGCGTGTGCGCACATTATGCGTAGGTAGGCGCGACACGGAGAGGAGCGGAAGAGAGACTAGAAGACGAGGATCGGGGGAACTCGCAGGAGAAACCGGCGGGTGAACTCTCCGGCGAGTTCGTTCTCGGAGGAGAGGTCGCATAGTCGTGAGAGACTACGCGGATTCGCACCGATCGCGGGAGGTCAGGATGGAGCTCTCGTCTCGTCCCGCTGCTGCCGGCGATATGGAGCAGAGAGCGAGAGTGGGTCCCCGCGGAGGAGTCCTCCCGTCCTTGATCCCTTTCGTTCGCGACTGAATCCTTGATAGCCACGCGCACGTACTCGCACGCGATTCATACTGCTTTGGGAGCTTCCAATGGTGACTTTGGGGACAGCAAAACGGAGGATGGCCGTTTCTCGGCGTATAAATCGTATCATTTCCGGACACGTGACTCTTTCCCTCGATTCCGTGGTTTTCCCTCGTAGTCGCTTCTTTTGCATTCCTCCCCTCTTTGCATTTGCCTCCGGTATTTTGGACTATTGTGATGCTACGCTTTCGTACGCTTGAATCATTGTTGTACTTATTTTGCGCATACAATAAAGTACAATAGTATTTATTAATA